ATGAGCTTATATCTTTAAAAATGTCAATAGTTCACGAGATACAATGTTATTTCTTAATTATGTATCTAGAGATAGAGAATTTTCGAATGCAGCCTAAATACTTATCATAATAAATTGTCTATCAGTGAGAATGATATGAAACCTTAAAAAGGCACAACTCCAGGTCTAGACTTTTCCAACGATATCAAATTTAACTATAAAAACCCATTTTTATAATTAATATAAATAATTATTAAAAATATAACTATAGATGAATGGACGTTTGTATCAATGGCTATTTAAATCCTTTATTCGGTCGCTTAAAAAAGAGCAAAATTTTATTTGTCATACAAATGTACGTCAGATTATTTATAGTAGTAGTTTTAAATGTAAAGAGTTATTTCCGGTAGTATTGTTGTATATAGGTCTTTAAAAGGAGTTTAAGTAAAGAAAAGATTGAGGTGATGGTGTGAAGACGTAAAGTGTGGCGATGGCGGACAGGGCTGGGTGGCGAGGGAGTCGGGAGGCCGAAGAAGAGGGCGATTTAGTCAGTAGTCGTCGGCGAAGTGGTGGAGAGCTGCTGGTGTACGAAGGATGAATGAAGCCCGGGTTTTGGCTTGGCTCCAGCCCTCTTTCCTCCTCAGAGCTGTTGGGTATATATGCCACGCCGAATACTGTTGAATAAGAGAGTGGTGGAGATGAAGAGGTGATGGTGATAATGATGAATGTGTGTGTTTATGTATATATACACAATATATGCGCATGTGTTTATATATTTGTGTGTAGAAGGGTGTGTGAGGACGACGCGCGAGGATTCGGACTCGAGTGGGACGTTTGCCGGGGCTTTTGTCGAGGGTAGGTAGTGTAAAGGGGAGGAAAGGGGGATGCACGACCGGGAGCTCTCTAGTTTTGACGTCATCGTTCAAGGCCGTGTACGATCGTTACTATGACTGCTATGCTGCGGCGGCTGTCGCCGCTGGTCCGCTGTTGTTGTCGGCGGCGTCGCCGGTATCTTCCTTTACTCATACTACTTTATTATCCACTCATGCTCGCCGTTATAGACGTACTACTTACTTACTTACACATATAATACTATACTCAGATTTACAAATTCAACCATTAGACGTCTCAGCATCTCAACATTTCTCCCTGTTTTATGCTCCGTTCGCCTTTTAAGTACTCCCAGCATCCTCTCGAGTACTCGGTGCCTTTCCGGTTGACCGCACTACTTCAATTGTCTTGTATTCCCATGCAAATTCAAACGACTTGACAAAGATGTGCCGTTGACAGTCGACATCGCTTCAGTTTTCATTTTTCCGTTGCTATTTATTGTTATTTGTTTCTATTGTATCAACAACAAATATCTTATGTTTATTCCGATTTTGTAGAGTATAATGATCGGGGTTGTTCGGTTTTAATAAGTAGACATTGTAGGTCACTATTGTTTTTATGAAAAAAAAAATTAATTATTAAAAAAAAATGTATTTTTTTTTTTAAATTTAATTATTGAAAAAACATTTTTTTTTTTAAATTAATTCTTAAAAAAAAACATTACTAATAATTTTTAAAAAATTAATTATTAGATAGTAATTTTTGTAAAAAAATTAGTTATAAAATTTTTTTGATTAAAAAAAATAAGCAATTTTTTAAAAAAATTTATTACACTTGTAATAATTTTTTATATATTTAAATATTAATGATTTTTTAAACATTTCATTAACCCAATAAATTATTTGTATGAAAAATTAATTTCTTTTATAAAAATAAATGAATAAGATTGATGAATAATTAATTCTATTGGGACTAAAATAAAGCAGCAAATAATAGATTTATCAGGTCTGGTATTGTCGATGAGATTTTAGAATTAAGTTGAGTAAACATCAGTGTAACGTAATGTGATGCAATGGAACGTATAATCTTTAAATAATATAAGGGAAAGGATAGAGCGAAAACTAGCAAGTTTACTCAGAAAGCACACTGGCGATTAATCCACATGTTAGTAGTATCGGGTAAATTTTTATATTTTTTTCTAAACGCCAACGCCAAGTACGTGGGCGGGTTCGAGGTTAAATCGTATTCTTCGATTTAACTCTCGTGGTAAAATAACTTAGACAAACATGCTCCAAAGGAATGAGTTTACTAAATTTTATTGTGCCTGAGGTGAGGTTTTTTATGGGAACCAGCCAACGAAAAATAATTCACCGGTGGCCGCCGGAGTGAGTGCTCAAAAAATTAGGAGATAGAAAATTGTTGAATAAATAAACCGGTTAAATGAGAACTTTCGGACAACAAAGGGGCCGGGTAATTGAGTGAAACAATGGAAATATTGTGGAAAATTTTTTAATTTGCGAATCGTAAACTACCACTGTAAACATGTTTTATTTGTTGGTTTAAAGCGAGGAGAGAAAGAAGAGGGTAGAGGGAGAGGGAATGAATTAGCGCTCCGTCAGTGATAAAGTTTTAATTCAATGAAACATATAGGATGTAAAAGCCGATTAATAACGAGATAAGAAATACAAACGAGTCGGGCACATAAATGAGAAGATAGGGAACAAGAAAATATGAGAGAGTGGGTAGAAGAGGGTGTTTTGTTATAAGGGTAGACCTAGGGTATGAACGTGAGGGTTACGCGAGGATCAGACGAAGATGCTATAGATATTTTCCGATGTATACTGGTGTATAGTAGGTACCCAGACGCAATATCCCGGCCAAATAGGCGGTGGCTCTGCCAGCCAGCTCGGCTCTCTCTTGTACTTAAACTCGGTACTCTGTACTCTAACTCTGTGTTAAACGGACCACGTCGCCAGGACAATTCTTCCAGACGTTTAACTTAATTTTATTATTCTCTATTATGCATTTAACTATCATATAAAACAGTCTATTTACGATTTGCCATTTATTTTATTATTTATTTACTCATTATTGTCACGTACTTTTGTTTTTTTTTTTCCTCCTTCATCAGACTTTTTTTCAATAACAAGTTTATTGACAGCCGCCGGGTAGCTGTTGTGCCTTCGTCTGTGGAGTAAATAATTAAATGAGTAACGAGAAACAAATATTGGAATTAAATGTACCAACGTCAATGATAAGACTGAAAAAGCCTGAAAGGTTATTTTTAGCTCTAGGGGTCTCCGTGGGTGACAAGTACCTGAGAAACTCTTTTTTCGATACTAATTGTTATTCTGGAAGAGTATACATGCTCTATAGAACCTTCAGTTCACCCTCATGCCACTTGTAAGGACGAAGTCGCAAAAAAAAAAAAAAAACTAAAAAAACTACCTTGAGGTCACAAGAATTTAATCCGCTAAATTTTCTTCGCTTTTTTTTTTTATCAACAAACATGTCTGATGCTCTAATGAATTTTTAGATATTTATATAATTTCAAAATTTATTGAATTTGTGGTTTATAAAGGCTTGTATCAATTTTTTCCGCTACAACTTTTATTTGTTGTCATAATTTATTTCAGCCGTAAATTTTAGTCAATTTAATTTATAAAAACTTTATTAATTTTTAGAATTAATTTTTGATAAAAAGATTGTCAATATTTTTTGAGAAAAAGATTTAAATGTTTAGGGTCTGTTTTCGTCCACAGTCACTTTAAAGGAGACGATTTTTTACCCCGGATTCGAAAAGACAAACGGAAGTAGGCGGGTAATATAAAGGGTGGAGGCGAAATGACTTGGCTTGAGGGAAGAATAGATTCACATTATTCACTGAATGAGTATCGTTACTCGGCTTCCTGTGTTTTTGATTATATATACTGTACGTAATGCTGGTGACCTTTTATATGCTCGTAAAATATTGTTCATTGCTCGTGGCATCCACTGTGTTCTATGTATATTATCCTATATTGTCTCTCATATGTCATCTCATACTTGCAGACTTATACTCACTGTTACTGTTACTGTTACTGTTACTGTTACTGTTTGTTAAACTTATTTTCCATTAATATAATTTAAAATCACCCTGTCAACAAAAATTCATTATATTTTTCTCGGGTTTAAAAATACCATTACCGAGTTTGACTCAGTCTTTTGTCATCTACATTAATACGTATGAATAAATAATAAAATTAATAGCACGCAAAAGTTATAACATTTTTCCCGATGCTCACTATTGGACGGTCATAAAATTTTTATGCGTCAATAGTTACCGGAAATTCCGAAGATGCATCTTTTTTATGGTCATCCAAATGTTGGATTTTTTATTAAACCATTTCAAGAGCTGAATTTATTGGACCGAACACCTACATTATTCTTCGAAAACATGTTTTTTTATACCACTGATATCTCCCAAAGGCAAGGTTTATGGAAATTTATTAAACTTGATTTTCCAAACCCAAAATACATTTTTAGGATTTAAAATATAAGAAGAATTTTTTTTAATAATAATAAATAAATAAAAATTTGCTTTATTAAATAATGAATTTTGTTAAATTGCACGGTACTTTCTTAACTATTGACATTTATAAAGATATAAGCTCATCCTGATGTTACAATCATCAAGAGCTTTCATTTGAGTACCCACATGCATTTTTATATATTTTTCATATATTCATATATTTAAATGAAAGGTCTTGATGAGTATAACATCGGGATGAGCTTATATCTTTAAAAATGTCAATAGTTCTTAAGATAAAAGGTCATTTCTTAATTATGTATCTAGAGATAGAGCATTTTCGAATGTAGCCTAAATACTTATCATAATAAATTGTCTATCGGTGAGAATAATATTGCAATGACACTAAATTTTTCTTATTCTCTTAATAATATAGATAATATCATATTTTTCCGACCTGATTATTTATCGATAGCAACAAAAAGACTATAGTTAATATATTAACAGATTCCATTTTCCCTGGAGTTGTCACAAAATTTAACAGCTGCAATGATATTTATTCAAAAAATTGTATAAACAGAATATCAAGGGATGTGTGATCGAAAATGGAAAAAGTGAACTGTATACAATGTACTCAGATGCAGATTCAATGTATGCATAGATATGAAACATATCCGTCGGCTATGTAATGGAATAACGTTTGAAGAGACGTAATTCAAAATGGCAACGAGGTCACACATCAGTATCACGGTATCACTGTATCATTGTCGGGTTTCGGTGTCACACATTATACCCGTCTATATATAGCGACCGCCAACGCACATTTTCTCGTAATAATTTTCGGTGTTGATTTGTATTGATAGATCGGTAGTAAGCAGTTTGTTAAATATTCCCACCCGGTAATTATGTCCTCCGATCTACATACGGGTGACCGTTCACATTCGCTTTCTATATGAAATAGAGCAAAACTATTCAACAGACAGACAATATATTATTGTTACATGCTCGAATTTTCGTTCACGCATTACAATTTGCAGTACTCGCTTTAATATTTTACGCATATGAATTGTTCTGTTTTATTTAATCGCTTTATTAATGCCCTTAATTAATCGGCAAATTCAATCAAGCCCTTCATAATAAGTTTTATAAATATGCGCATTTATTTCACGGCTAATATTTAAAAGCTATTTAAAAAGGATATTAAAATACAATTTATTCGATAAATTATTCATGAGAAAGGTTAAAGATTTTTCAAGTTAATAATCTACAGATATATATGACACGAAAGACACATAAAGAAACAGAAGGAAAATAATAATGTTGTTTTTTAATGGCGACAATTTTTTCAGCATCCTATTGTCTCGGCATTATTTTACTGGCTTGTGTATTGCTCCGAGATTCGTTTATCTGTATCTTAAATGCCGTGCGTAGGTTTGCCTCCGAACTATGTGGAATAATATTACTTGTATGAATACTCTTTCAAGTTATTTACGTAGCATCCCTGTTCCGCGTACTATAAATATATGTGTGTACTTAAGTTCCAAAAGTATCCTAGTCTATTATAAAACTGGACAAGGCTGCGTTTGATGAATTTTTGCGACAAATTTATCGTCTCTTTAAATTCCTATAAAACAATTTTAATTTTATTAAGGAGGTCCTTTCGCCGCCAATGTAAAATAAAAAATATTAGATTATGAGTAAATTCAATTTTTTTCTAATAGTTAAGGTCCTTATTTATTTAATAGTGAGGTTTAAATTATACTTTACCGGACAAATTTTTGAAAAAATAAAATTTTTAAATGTTAGTATTTGTTCAGAGTCTTACAAGAAAGTCAGACGTTTGCATGTTACATGGGGTCGTACAACTGCTGGTGGGACTGGCGATGGTGATGATGCTCTGTGCAGCATGTCATACCTGGCTTCTGTTGTAGCTGTATTTTAAAATAAATTTTTTTATAAATATTTAATTTATTAATGTAAAATCTATATTATTAGATCTATTATTAGATAGATAATTAAGAAGTGACCATATATTTTGTGAACTATTGACATTTTTAAAGATATAAGCTCATCCCGACATTACACTCATCGAGACCTTTCATTTGAGTACCCACATCAATTTTCCATATATTTTATATATTTATATTTATTATATATATATGTATATATAAAAAATGCATGTGGGTACTCAAATAAAAGCTCTCGATGAGTATAACATCAGGATGAGCTTATATTTTAAAAAATATCAATAGTTAAGAAAGTACAGTGCATTTTAACAAAATTTATTATTTAATAAAGCAAAATTTTATTTATATATAGTCCACAAGTCACTGAAGTCTCATATAGTAAGAAGAAATAAAATAAAATATTAACCTTTATTATTTTGATGATTTTCACTAGATGAAAGAATAACAGTGACAGTAGGAGGTGGAGGTGCATTTTCTTTAGGTACTGTTAAATGACGGCTACTGTTTCTTGGATGATTATTTGGAGTTGGCGACGGCGATGGTCTTCGAGGAGGTAAAGGAGGACTTGGTACTATTCTTCGAGGAGGTACTGGTGAGCTAGCCGGGCTTGAATCTTCTTCTTCGTCAGAGTCGTCGCATATTAATCCCCCGCAATTCCCGTTACACAGCTCTATAATATCCTAAAACATAAAAAAATTACATATTTATAATATTTAAATTACATACTTAAAAAATAATTTTAATATTAATAATAAAATAATTTATTCCATGCAATATAGTGTTATTTATATAACAATATGATTATGGTGTAAAATTAATATTAAGATGCAATTAATTTATTTAACTAACTGTGCATTTTTTTAATGCAGATAATTATTTGCAGTTTATGAAATAAGGCAATTAAGCAATAAGCAGAAAAAGTATATTATAAACCATAATGCAGTTTTGTCATACTTACCTTAAATAATTGATAAACATTGAAAAAAATTTATTCACGTATTTACAATAAAAGTTATAAATTTTTCATGCAGTGGGCTGAGCATTCGACCCAATTAACAACTCAATTATCTCAAAAATAATATAATTTTTCTCATGCGACTATTGATATATATTTTTTTATTCAGACGCTGAATATAAAATTTAAAAATTTTATAATTAATATTTATATTAAACAATTTATTTAAAAAAATATAAATAATTATAAAAATATAGCGAAAGGAGCGTATATAAGTGCAAAGTAACAATATAATGATAATATAACTTTATTTAAAAATATTTCAAATAACTAATATTTTACAATAAGAAATAAATCATTTACACTAAAATTATATGTGTATTTATATATATTTTCATTTGTTCTAATTTTTAATCTAAACGCCAGTGCGTGGCAAAAAACTTTAAAAGTAATATAAGCAGCTTTTTATATTTTGTTCATTAAATTAACACAGGCGTTAATGCAAAAAACTAATTATCCTTATCTAATTTCGGACTACAACAATCATACCTATAGTAATAATAATAATAATAATTAATTAAAATTAGTGTTTTTAGAAATATTCTGTTGATGATTATGTTAATTAAAATTTATTAAATATAAAATCAAATATTTAAATGAGTTTAATTAAATAATTACGTAAAATAAAAAAAAAAAAAAGAAAAATTATAAATTTAATAAATATTAATTATAATTCAATATGATTTGCATTTAATTGATCTTAAGTTATTTGCATTGTAATCATTGCAATTTATTATTACAAATAGAAAAAAAAATACACTGAAGAAAAAATAAACACGTTAAAGTAATTGTTTAATTACTTTGCTCGATAAAATTTAACAGCGTTAATTATTTAAGCATTAGATTTGAGTTAAAAAAAAAATAACACTGACTAAAAATTTATGCAAAATAAAATATAAAAATTTTTTTTTTAAACTATCACTAATCGTAAACGATTTTTTTTATAATTTTAGTAAGTCATCACAATCAAACCAATCGTTTGGATTAGTTGCATTATAATTAATATGTCAGAGTGGATTATTTGTGCACATAATTATTATTATTACACAATTTATTTTCTCTCTCACTGGCACAATAACATCAACAACAATAATCCTGGAAGTTACACTTCAAAATTTGATAATTATTTTTTTTTTTTTGTCCTATAGTTTAATAATACTTATTTAATATTAATTATTTATTTGCCTCAGTATGCTCTCTAAAAAAAATGCTAAAGCCCAAAATAATGATTAAGATGCGAGAAATGCAAGCTAGTATTGTTATTATTAAGTCCTGCGATAAAGTAAGCTGCTGCATTGTCATTTAATATTACAATGCAACTAATAAGCTTCATAGATATATTTATTTTAATTGTTTAATTTATAAAAAAAAAAAAAAACAAAAGCAAATTTTTTTTAGTCACAATAATACATTTGTATTATTTATAGGCCATTAAAATAATTAATTTAATGTAATTGCAATTAAAAGGTATAATTAATTTAATATCTAAGTTTATATTAAAAGAGATAAAAGTAGATGATAAAGAGCGGTAAATAAAAAGACATGGATTGTCTGGAATGCGTGGAAGAGTAAACCTACCTTTATCTTGCATGGTGTAATTATTCCAACCATATTTTTAATATTGTTATTTGTTATTATAATATTAGTTATTTTAAAAAATATTAATTGCAAAAATAAATATAGCATTATTGATTTAATTCCGTAGCACTTAAAAATTACTATGAAAAATAATAAGATGCAATGATGCGTTTTAATTAGGAGCAACCAATGCTACTGCGATGAAATACGAAAGGCAGTTTTTTTATGAGGCATAATCTATGAGGTCACTATACAAGGATATGTTTTAAACTAATATATAAATAAACAAATAAATATATGTATATTTATTTATCTATATATTTTAAATGGAGGGTAGATGATACGCCTAGTCGGATACCTCGGTGTCAGGGTCAAGATCCCGCGTAGGAGTTGATGCGTTACTAACAGATGCTGATTGAGCCCCGGGTCGGTGTGTTCTTCGTGGATCAAAAGGATCCACAACTATTTGTTCAGTTCCTTTTATCTCTGCGCGGCAGAAAGGACACCCCTGGCCTTCGGAATCCTGTTGATAAAAAAAGTAATATTATTAAGTCAGTCTTTAAATAAATTTTGCAATTTTTTTTTTTAATGTATATTATATATATATATATATATATATATATATATATATATATATATATATATATATATGTCACACTATAATGGCTCTTACAATAGCCTGAATTTATAAAGTGGATATAATAAAATCGTTGGCCTGAATTTTACTCCTATTCATCACTGTCCTATATCTAAGCAGATCTTTATATGTTTGCTTTGTACATGAGCGCTAGCAAAAAATAATTACTTAACAGTCAGCTGAAGTGAATGAGTTTTATGCAAGAGAAACGATATTTAATAATGGCAATTCAAGTATTTTATGACAAACCGATGAGACATTGTTCGCAATAAAAGATAAAAGTATAATTTATATTTATATTTATATTTAAATAATATTTATTAAATGAGTAAGTACTGCTACCTGCCAAGCTGTTAAACATGGCGTGCAGAGAAGATGACCGCAGGGCTCTATTCTGACGTCTTTGTCATGCTCAGCGCAAATTTTACATAATTGGAATGTACTGCCCATTTCACAATAAAGTTCATATTGCTCAGCCGTTACTTTGATGTGCTCTTCCGGAGTAGGTTGAACGGCCCACGTCAAATCGGGATTCACATGACGTCCGTCTGGGTATAAGTAACTAAAAATATTTTATATTGAATATTATTATTATTATTATTTTATAATGACATTTAAGTTTGGACAATTTTTTAATTTTATTTAACAAATAAATTTGTTCTGAAAAATTATTTTATAAAAATAATATTTTTAATTATAAAAATTGTAATACTTACAATCCTTCCCGATAGCCATCCAACAGTGCTTGACACAGACTTTTATTGTGGGGTATGGTTTGAAGAATATCTCCATCGGATGTAACGTACCCGATAGCCCACTGTCCTAATCTTGTACAGCTTAATCGAAAGACATAACTTCCTGGTTTAGTTATGCAGTATTTTTGCAAGCGCGCTTTTACTTCGTCGTAAGTTAAAAATGCTACGTATCCAGGATGCGTGACCGCCAAAATTTTCCAGTTACGCAGCAACGTAGACCAAGGTTGAAACAGTCTTAAATAAAAGTGAAATTAATTATTAATTTTGTTAAATAATTTATTAATTATTATTAAAAGTATCTACCTTGTGAACACGTCGAATTCAAAATTTGAAATGTAATCATTGCAGGTGAGGTCGATCGTTGATTTCAATGCCATCGCTTGCAGGCCCGAGCTTATGGGATGAACTTGATTTAATTCATGTCTAAAAACCTTCCACGGGACCAAAGTACTGAAAACAGATAAAATATTTATTTATTTATAGCAAACAATAAACTAAAAAATTACCCCAAAGTATTTCAAGGATACTCAAACACATTTTATTGCAGTTAATATTTGTACACACTGCATATACCTTTTTTTAACACGAAAGAATATTCAATTGACACAGGTATAATAATTGCTAAGTAGCGCACTGAGCATAAAATCAATTTTAGTTCCAAGAATATTTCCTGAATTATTTATTCTAAGTTGATTCCAACCGATTACACACATGTTAGGTTTTTTTTTATCTATGATACTCAAGTCAGCTGACAGCTATTAATTTTTTTTATTTTTATAATAAATCAATTACAATAAAAAAAATTTTGACATGTCAAATTTTTTTCAATATAATTTTACTGCTAGAAAATTCTAAAAAAATTTTTTTCATTTAACTTCAGTGTATTTTTTTTTATAAAAAATTAATATAATAAAGTTAGCTTTAATGTCACAAAATTAATTACAAAATAAAAAAATTTTTCTAAAAATTTCTAATTGTTAACCAGTGTCAATTTTATTTACCCAAAAAAAAAAAAATCAAATATATTTATAAATAATTGTTTTTCGACCTAAAAATGATTAGATAACAATAATCATGAAATAGTATTATACAACAGTCCAAAAAGTGATGATTAATTAATTAATGAGCATAATGTAGACCTTTGAACTCAAGGTATTAACTTTATTGATGTGACATTGAAAAATTAATAATAATTATTATATGAAATGTCAAGTCACCCTCAATATATATAATCAAGGGTAGAAAGTTATTTTATATTATACATATGCGGAAATTTAGATAAAAAATTCAGCAAGTGGGTATAATGTTTTTTATTTCCCACTTTCCACTGTCCTGGCTACTACGCCGTTACTATGTATACGAGTAGAGTAAGCGGACATCATAGTCAGTCGTAGTCAGTTGCTCTGTTCGTTCAGTCGGCTTTTTTTTCACCTGCGAATAAATATATTATAATATTATATCTACAATAATTATTTGATATTACTACAGCTATAGGTAAGAATATGTCTGATAAATCTTTTACTTTAAGAACAATTCAATTTCATTCAGTAGTTACATTTTTTATTTAATGAGTAACTGATTCAACAAAACGGATGAATTGCGTGTGAATGAGTAATCTCTTGATGGCGGATCACTTCTTTCGCCGTTTTCTTGATAGGTGGCACTACTTACAAGTGCAAAAGTTTTTCTTGCAGAATAAAGAATTAGTACAAGAAATTCTGGAGTTTTAATTAATAATAAAAAGGAAATTATTTTTTAACTTAGACTTTTTTATTTTTTAAATATAAATTAGAAAATTAATTTTTTTTTAAACAAATTTGTTCCAAAAAAAATGACATTTTTTATTTTTTTAAATTTCTACATCAATTTTTTCTAATTTATTTTTTACAAAAATTATTAAATAGCTGCTAAAAAAATTTTCTTAAAAACAATTGTTTGAAAAATTTTTAAATTAAGTAATTAATTTTTTTTTGCATTGAATAAATCTAGGGGAAAAATGCGTTTTTTGAAATATCCAATAATACCTGTCGGATTGCAACAAATTCGAAATTTAGCAGGCACGTATTTAAATACCCCCAAGTTATAATGATACTGAAGTCAGTTGACACCTGTCAATTTTCAAAATTTTTATAACAAATCAATAACAACAATAAAAATGTTTTTAAAAATTTCCACTGATTATTTTCTTTAATTTTTACATGTGAAATATTTTTCATAATAATTTTATTGATATTTAATCATAAAAAAATTTTTAATGTCTGTCAATTTCAGTGTCATAAATTATAAGTAGTTAAATTGAAAAATTTAATTATCGTTTTAAATTGTTTTAATCCTATTTGCATGATAAATTACCTGTAGGAGTGTATTAACATATCATTTGCAACAAATATTCGCTAAAAATAATTTAGTTACAAAAATAAGTAATTTAAAAATGATTAAATATTTTTGTAATTTAAATAGTTATGAGTGGAAACTTGGATTACAAGTCGGCCAAGTCCGTCCACGATTTCGAAGCTAAGTCTATCAAGGGGGAAGATGTACCTTTGGAAAAGTAGGTTAAACTATAAATGAATTTATTTTCTTCGAGCTCAATGCCGGTCTCTATAAATTCTTAAACATTCCTATGAATTAATTTCAGGTATAAAGGCCACGTGCTGTTGATCGTGAATGTCGCATCTAAATGTGGGCTCACTGCTACTAATTACAAGGAACTCAATGAGCTTTATGATCAATTTGCAGAGTCTCATGGTATTTATATTCCTTTTAACAATATTTATAATTTCTTCAACAATAATTTTAAATTTTAAAAAATTATTCACGTTAGGTCTCCGGATTTTGGCATTCCCATGCAATCAATTCAACGGTCAAGAGCCCGGAGACAGTGACGAAATTTGCAGCTTTGCTGATCGTCAAAAAGTAATTTATTTTTTTCTAATAAATTATTTTTATCAAACTTATTAATTTTATTTTTGTGCGTAGGTGAAGTTTGATTTGTTTGAAAAGATAGACGTCAATGGTGAGACAACTCATCCCCTGTGGAAGTACTTGAAAAAGGAAAAGGGCGGCACACTGGGAAACTTTATCAAGTGGAACTTCACAAAATTCATCGTCGACAAAGACGGAAAAGTCGTCGAGCGACACGGACCAAATGTTGATCCCAGTAGCTTGGCGAAAAATTTGGAAAAGTACTTTTGAGGGAGCAATACCTCAATTTATTCCCAACGCACGGTTGTAATTTAATACTGCTGTTTATCGGAATAATCAATACATCACAACTAAACGTATGGATTGTTCCTTTATTCAAGGAAATAATAATCATTATTATAATTATTACTACTATAAATAGTTCTGTTAAATAATTTATCTCAAACTATTTATTTTGTTATTAATTTAAATGATGTAACATTTGATCTTTTTTATTTTGGCTATGATTTATACACGCTTCCTCGAGAGTATCACGTCTGATATCATAGATATATCTGAGTTATCGATTTTGTAATCAACACATACATAAATATAAATCCGTGCGTAGGTATCGATTCACACGCACCACAGCCAGATTGGGACTTTGTATTTTGCTTGTTTTAAAAAAAAATACCATTCAATAAATAAACTGCATAAAATCCATCTAAGGTGTCTTAAATTTTTTTAACAAATAATTCTAGTTCCTATTGTTCTATTTTATATTGAGTATGAAATTGTAAATTAAAAAGCCGTGGATAAAGGATAAATTTTCCAAGTAATATAACATAAAAATATTGAATATTTGTATTACTGTGACTAAGCTTAAACGTACATATCCACGGCAATGATAAGGTATACAATAAACATTCCCCGGAAGTTAATTATTATGTTTAGATAAGGAATTGCGATGATTTAACAGTGTTACAATTATTAATGAAGTAAAATAAATTTTTTTCAATTAAATTTTAGCGTATAAATGAAATTATTTATAACTATTGTGACATTTGTAAAGATTTTCAATTGACATATGGTTTTTTTGAATATCAATTATTCAAATTTGTACATATTACACAAATATTAGCTTAGTCTTGATTATTGAATATTAAATTATGCAGATATTAAAATCAACTGAGGCGAATTATACGAAAAAATTTATAAAATTAATATTTAAGAAAAAAATATTTCATTGTTAACATTTATATAATCTTATCTAATAACAATATAAATTATTTTTTTTATTTACTTTCTTTGTTATCTCTAATTGCAAACTAGCTCTTAAACTAACAGAGCAACGATGCATTTATCTAATAAGTATTTTAAAAAATTTTTTTAAATTTATCTTTCTTAGCAATAAAATATTATATAAATAATTATGTAAAAAATATATTTTTTCCAATAGCTGGGATTGAACTTGTCTGTAAGTTTATATCAGTATTCACACTTGATTTAATTTCACTCGAGTCTCTGTATTTTATTATCGGTCATGACCTCTCTGAGATGAACAGGAAATGCGGTTTTTTTTTTTTTTAAAAATGCCACACTGAGAGAAGCAAAAGGGTTGAAAAGAAATGTTAGAGTGTGATATTGATTTTCGGATAAAAAAGTCTCGTCTGCTAATGAAACAACGACTAGATGTCTCAATGTCTAGATTTACGCTTTTAAATATTATATGAAAAAAAAAAAAAAAAAACCTATTAATAAAACAATAATCACTCTAATTAATACTTAAATATTAATTTATTCAACAAGTGTTAATTATTATGAATGTAAATACGAAATTTAACCAGCTGATAAAACTTATTTCTGAATGAATTCAATTAAAAGATAATTATTAATAACAATATTAAGATTCAATAAAAAAAAAAAAAATGTTCTTATTAATTGAATTTAAGTTATTTAAATAATAAAATTATATTTAAAATAATGAATGGAGGAAAAACGGCAAAGTAATACGAATATTAAAATATAAGTAATAATGTTATAAAGATATGTGCAACTACTTGGGTAAACATATTTGCCCACGCAACGGTGAGGAAGATCGTTGTAGCGTTATCGCCAGGTCGCTCCGGAAATATGTTTATTATTAGCATTAAAAAAGAGTGAGACTGGTGTAATAATAAATGAGAAATGAGAGACAGAGCGACCTAAACCATCACCAGCTCAAAACTCAAATAATAATAATTGTGAAAATTAATAATAACAATAATGAAATAAAGAGGGGAGTTGGCTAACTTTGCTGATATATATATATATATATATATATATATATATATATATACACGTTAATGCACGTAAGAAAAGATATTGGTTATAATTAGCCGTCCTTGCTTGTCGGCTGACCCAACACCCGCCTTCATTCATAGAACTCTACTAATAACATTATATATACATATAACACGTACAACAGCGTGATAGCCACTCTGGTTATTTTATTTTTCAGATATTTAGTTACTTACATACTACTATTTTGCGCATCTTTAAGCGTTTGCGCGCGTGTCTACCGACCTAACATTCGCGGATCGAAGAGGAGAGACCCAGTTTACCGCGGCCCACTTTTTTCTTTTTCTTATATTTTTTTCTACATATTTTTTCATTACGATTCCAAGCACAGTCTACTATACGTCGCAATGCCTATTAAATACAAAAAGTCATTTATTTTTTTTTTTTTAATATCAAAGTCCTTGAAGTTATTATTAATTATTGTTATTATTTACCTACCCTACTCTACTAGGCTCTTCAATGACAGCTAATTTATACAATTACTAATATTTTTTTCAGCAGTATTGTAGGTATAAAACATCAAGCCCGCCTGAGTTTAATTAAGGTAAAAGCACTCGGTGCGATGGAAAATTTTTCGTTATCACTTGCGAGCACGAACGTACGTGACCGCGGACCTGGTCCACAATTCCCTCAAGGTTTTCGAAAGACACAACACTAAACCTAAAAATATATTACAAAGGGTTATACATTTAATTTACATACTTAATGATAATTCTGATTAAACATTGAGCGTTTCATTTCAATTTTAAAATAGTGCAGAATAAATTATCTCATTGATATGTCGCATGAAAGATTCTCCCGAAATTAAAGATAATCAAGCATACGAATGAGATAAAACGGATGTAGAGGTAGTCAGGTTGTCGTCATCGTCGACGAGATATACGTCTCTCGGTTTTAATATCACGCATATTCTCTATTTTTTGCGCAATTGCAAATTCTTGTGAGCTATTATTGTCACGAAGCTTATCAATGAATTGTTCGCTAATATTTTAATAGAAATATTTATTATTCACACTAAAAAAAAATTAATTTGAATCAAAAAATTAATTTTTAAGAATTTTTCTACTCAAATTTAGAAGACGGAATTCTTCAAAATAATTTACTTTATTCAAATTAATTTTTTTTTTTTTGTGTATTAAAATTAATTATTGGATTATTTTTCAGCAGAGCAAACTAAAAATGCCCTCGTAGCTAATGCTGTATTACGGCATTGACAAATTAGACGTTAAATCCAACAAAACGGCAGCAATAGCAATAGCTAGTTGTCCTATCACGCCAGCATGTTAATATATAATGTAATAGATATATATCTACTTGATATTCGAATGTGTAAGTAATGTGTTGGGGGGGCCATGGCACTTTTGTTAAACACATATTGTGTATATATCTACAATTTCCAGAGTATGTAGTCTGCATGCGGGCGTACAAGTACAAGTACATGTACATATAATACTTCTCTTCTCATCTCGCACGCTCGCGTTACTCTTTTAATTTTCCTCAATCGTGACGTCACGTCCCCTTCCTTCCGCTTTTGCTCTCATAGTCCGGATGTGAGATTAACTTGACAAGCGGGGAACCGTTTTGTCCGAGAACAACTCGATATATATTTATCTATGTCTACATATATGGATATGTCACTTTTTTATGTACCATTATCATATGCGTTATGAATGAACAGCAATAGATCACGCGTATCTTATTATTTATTTATGAGCTGAGAGTTCATTTAAGAAACCGCTTTTCTCTTTTAATTTGATACCAAATTTGCCTGTTTAAATAAATATATAATATATATTTTAAAGATATAAGCTCATTCCGATGTTACAACTCATCAAGAGCTTTCATTTGATGTACCCACATGCATTTTTGATATATTTTTCATATATACATATATATAATATATATATATAAATATATAAATATATGTAAAATTGATGTGGTACTCAAATGAAAGCTCTTGATGAGTGTAACATCAGGATGAGCTTATATCTTTAAAAATGTCAATAGTTCACGAGATACAAGGTCATTTTTTAATTATTTATCTAAAAATAGAGTATTTTTGAATGCAGCCTAAATACTTATCATCATAAATTGACTATTGGTCAAAACTTTTCCAATGATACCAAATTAATAAAATTTTACTTATTCTCTTAATATTATAGATAATTGGTTTGAAAAGCTTACTCATTTTAAACTACTCATGGATTCTTTTATAACTATTGAATGTGAGTATAAAACTCAGCATCTGGATTTGACTGTTAACTTTCAGCTTTTTAGAACTTAATATTTTCGCTGTACTTGACGTGGAGGATTATTGAAAAACGTTATTTCTTAGCGTTCAACCACTCACACATTCTATTATTCTTTTTTGCGCTGAAAGCTTATGCTGGTACATATAAAATCTATCAACCAGCCATTGATATATAATACATGTATATTATATAAAAAAAAATAGGCAGACTTTGAAAGGTATTCACCGATAAATATCTCAATATAAAGGTCAAAGGTTGTTGTTTAACCTTTATTTTTACTCCATTCAGGAGTTTTTATTTATAAAGATTAAAATGACACATCAGAGTTAAGTCTGGTGTCGTTAAATAAAGACTCACTGAAGTGTAATTTAAAAAATGTGTTATTTTCAGTGAAAGACCAGACATTTAAAATTGGAGTTTAAATTACGAGGGTGAGCCCCTGTTAAGTAGTATATGGGAATACCAGCAGCAGCAGCAGCAGCATCATCATCATCATGATCATCATCAACATCAGCAAATTCTGAGAATAAGAGAGAGAGTTGTGAATCAATGATGACTAGAAAGGGTACCGCAACTGTACCACGGGTTGTTGTACATTATTTAATTTTATATTATATCGTGTGTACGTATTTAGGCATGTGTGTTGTGTAAGTGCCAGTCGGGCGGATGTCCGCGGATCATTTGACCGGAAACGCCGGAAACTGAAGGTCCACGCATCTGGGTAATTGAACGGGTTCCGTCAACGTCGCCGGTAACAATCGCTTACCAATCTCTCTCACACCACATCCTTATCCTTTTATTTATTAGAAGGAATTTTTTTATCCATTTAAGCAACATTTATATTTGTCAACCGGAAAATTTTAAAAATAAATAATTAAATTATAATTTAAACGATTGTTTTTTTTTTTTTGACACACCTCAATTTAAATTAACGACAAAGACAAATATGTGCATTAATTTGTAGACAAAATCATCAATGAATTACTCAGCCACAAGACTCAATGTTTATTTATAAAATATATATAGATAACGAAAGTTTAAATTGCAGGAGTATTTAAACGTGCGTTCCGTTCTATTCGCCGTAGACGTAGTTATTATTATAATTATGCAGCCGTCTGTTTACTAAAACAGGAATCCTGATTATTATAACTCCATCAATCAATAAATAATAAATAATAAAAAGTGATGAGAAAATTAATCTTGAATGAACAGAGTCGAGTTGAGATGATAATACCTTCAGTGTTGTATATTATATTAATAATTTAAAATTAAAAATTACCCGGTCTCTTAAATCATGATTAAACGTAAATCAATAGATTATAGTTCATTGATGCATGACCTATATTATATTTAATGATGCTGATGCTGATGATAATGATCGAATGCTGGACAATAGCCAGTAAAAATAATAAGCCCAGTGAACAGTTGAATGAACTTATTCGGGTTGTTTAATTCGAGTTTAAATTGATAATACTGTCAATGAACGAAGCGCAGCGTAAAAAATATATATATATATATATATATATATATATATATATATATATATATATATACATACATTTTTTTATCTTATCCATTCATGTGATTCGTTGCTTTAGTTTAAAATATTTTATAGCTGGAATTTTCAAATTGATATTTAATTTTTTTGTTTATATTTATAGTTTATAGATAGATTTACAATAAAATATATTTTATTGTATCGATTTTTGTGACGGGCTGACAGCGGTGGTGGTGGTGATGGTGCTAAAGTGTATTGTATGTACGTACTTGGAATTTGGGGATGTAATTGGATTAAGAAAAACGTTGGGGTCAAGTATGTATTGAACAATGGTGTAATAAAAATAAAAATAAAGTTAGATTGTCTATGACGTATCTAGGTTAGGCTGTAATTGCTTATATGGGAGTAAAAAAGTATTTTTGTAAAACATTACGGCTGCCCAATTTTGAAACACAGCATTTTTTATAATTTTTAGACATTAATTTTAAGGATTTTTTATAATTTTTTAATTAAAAAAGTGTGTTTTGAAATTGGGCAGCCCGATTAAATAAAATTAATGAAATAAATAAATAAATAAATAAATAAAAAAATAATGATAATATAATAAGTATGTACCTGTTACCGAAGCGCTCTCTCCAAAATTCAGCGGCGTCAGACTTGGTAATGCGAAACTGATCACCCGCGAAGACGCCGTTGGGGAAGATGGCCTTCAATTCAGAGAGCATGTGACTGAATACGAGACTGAGTTTTGTTAAATTTCTACGATAATGAGATGTCTCGTCAAACATTTTTTCCTTGCCTTCTTTGAATAACTTGATAGCCTGTTTACACTTTCGCATAAGATTATTTATGAATACACAAAAATGTTCATTGCTGTGCAAGACGGACATACGATCCTCGTATTTACTGTAAATTAATCTCAAGCGCTGATAGGTATCTGGAAGGATATCAAGGATAAACGGTGGTGAGTTTTTTAAGTTCATTCGCTGATGCTGACACAATTTAACAACTTTGTCCATAAGTTTCCATGTTTTGTCGAGCATACGTTTATCTGTTGATAATTTTGGTGGAGTCATTGCGTCGGTAAACCGTCCTTGGAGTTTTTGAAGTATCGAACTTATGTGGGCAGCACGACTACTTCGGCTGCTGTGACCCGACGACATCTTGATGCTGCTTCAGCCACTTCAGCCTCTGTTTCTGGTTCTCCTTCTGAGGCTGTTAATGATTTATTTATCACGATGATGATGATGATAATAATTTTTATAATTATAATATACACAACATTTTTAACATTTATATTATTTACCTAGCAAATAAATATCCTATATTACTTCTGGTAGTAATTATTATTATTATTATTATTTTATCAGTAATTTTTTTATCACCATAACGTTTTAAAATCCCCGTTAGTGTGTGAGTTGTCATGTGTATATTGTGTATTGTCACCACCGATTGATGATGCGATGCTAACCCACCACCACCATTAACACTGTATTATTTTTAAAAATATTTATTAAACACCTGTTCACTTATTTTATTTTATATTTATACTAATATATTTATTATGTCACATCACCGCGTTTTAATAAATACATTTTTAATAATTATTATTTAACAATATTTTATTTATTGTTTGACGTTCTCACGAGGTGTTATACGTGAGTTGTCTTGCTTTAGTTAGATCATTCATTATTGCATTCTGTTTCTAAACTAACGATTGTCGCGATCATCACGACATTCTAGTGAACTGAATGTGGCCGATATTTACATTCGAGATAAAAAAATAAAGAGATTTTATTTTATCTCGCCAAATCGAATTTCGAGTATCGATTGTACCTTCAATCCTTCAATCAAACTTTTTTGACCTAGAGCGCGCTGCATACTTTGGATCTTTTTTGTAATGGCGGCCATATTTCTACTTTCCCGCGAATTTTATTAATATTTCAATCAACTTCTCAAGGTAAGAATACTTTTTAATAATTTATAACCTCAATTATTATACTGAACTCAGCTGACAGCTGTCAATTTTTTAAATTTCATAATAAATTACAATAATAAAAATGCTTTTATAAATTTTCACTAATAATAATTAATTTAGCAAATATTTTATAATTTTTTTAACAATTAAATTTTTAAAAATAATTTTTCGGAGCAAATTTATTTATTAAATAAAATTAAAAAATTATCAAGTAACTGTTAACTTTAATCTCATTTAATTTCTACATGTGGAAATTTTTTTCATAATTATTTAATTGCTAGGTATAAAATTATTAAAAAAATTTCTAATGTCCGTCAACTTCAGTGTCATCAATTATAATGTAAATATTTTTTTTAAATTGAGTATTTATTCTCTTGTAACATTTATTACAGCTTTCATATAATTAAAATAAGCTTAAAATTACAACCATAATTACTTATCACAAAAATAATAAATAAACATAAATTACGTTAACTTATTTATTAAGTACTGTTTAAAAGAAAATAACTAATTATTCAATTATATTTTTTTTCAAGTGTATAACATTCTCATATAAATTTAAAATAAATTATTTATCGTTGTTTTCTAAAAAAATACGTGATTAAAAGATAAATATTTGACAGAATTGAGCATACAAGGCAAGTGATTTATACAATTAATAATTAACAATGATTTAATAATAATAAATAAAATGACGACACTATAGTGGCATTTAATTGTAGCTGTGCGTACTCTCAGTCAATAAAATTAAAAAATGAATGATAAATAATTACATTGATTATTCCAACAATGATAACAACTTTTTCATTTACGATAGCCTTTAACTACTATTATTATCATTATTATTATTATTATTATTATTATTAATATAATATAATTTATCAACTATCTAATAGTATACTGAATAACAATAAAATTTATTTAGTTGGCTAGCTTTAAATTAGATAAATCGAGTTTATAATATTCGATATATGTCGTCACCGTTCTTTGAAGTGATAGCTCAATCTTAGTAAGACAAAGCTCGTCATAACAAACCAACTGACTGGAATAGAGGCCAATACTCGGTATCTCTCATCTGAAATTATTTTAATAAGATAATTTATTATTCATCGTATTTTTTTCAGCTGATTCGGCTCGATTAAATTTATAGCGGTATTCCCAGTATATAAAGATAATCTTAAAAACAAGTATCATTTTTATGAAAATTAATTTAGCTGTCACTTGACAATTTTTTAATTTTAATTAACAAAATTTTTTACAAAAAATTATTTCTAAAAAACTGCTTTTATTTTTTTAAATTTCAATTTTTTTTTGACCATTTATTTGTTATAAATAAAAACATTTTCAAGTGACAGCTAAATTTAATGTCATAAAATTTTTTAGTATCGTTAAAAACCAATTAAAATAATTAAGAATGCTATTAATTTATTTTTTACCTGTCATTTGGGCAGTTATTTTCGTCGCAGCCCAGCCCATACTTCTTTGAACAGCCATCTTCCATTTTTTATACCTTCCGTCTCTCTCTGCAATTAAAAGACCTCATTAGAAATAATTATTATCGATAAAAAATAAATTAGATTTATAAAAAATAACAAAATGGAAAAACTAAATTATTTAAAATAAATTTATCACCTTCTGGAGTTGTTGTAGGTAAAAACGTGTCATTAGGAACTGTTTCAGTCTCATCTCCGTCGAGAGGCCAAACTTCAACGCCTTGAGCTTGTCCAGCTGCAATTGCAGCTCCTAGAGCCGTAATGTCCGGCATGGTTGATCTGACTGAAAGTAAATAGTTCAGAGTTTATTAAAAAAAATATTTTAATTTTTAAATTTAAGTATTATTTTTTTAAATAATAAATATATACTTACATACTGGTATACCGCTAAGGTCAGCTTGAAGTTGCATTAATAAATTATTAGTCGACATTTTACCGTCAGTGTGGAGCTTTGTCAAAGGAAATCCACAATCTTTGAACATAGCTTCAATAATATCTCGGGATTGGAAACATACTGCCTCAAGTGATGCCCGTATTATGTGTTGCTTTGTGGTAAATGCCGTCAGACCGCAGATTATCCTTTGAGGAAATAAAATTATTATTTTTTAAAGCTCTTGAAACAATAAATGTCATTAATATAAATTAATAAAGTTACCCTCTGGCATCCTTTCTCCAATATGGAGCATAAAGGCCATTGAAAGCCGGCACAAAGTAAACATCTCCAGTGCTGAATACTTTTTCAGCTATTTGCTCGCTCTCATGAACGTCTTTAATAAGTTTCATATTGTCTCTTAGCCATTTAATTGCTGCCCCAGCTACGGCCACTGAACCTTCTAATGCATAGACAGCTGGACTATTTGGCCCTAATTTATAAGCTACTGTCGTGACTAGACCATGGGATGAATAAACTCTCTAAAAATAAATTTTTTTTGTTAAAATACTATCAAAACAATAACATAAAATTTACATACAGTAGTTCCGGTATTGCAAAGTAAGAAACAACCACTTCTATATGTATTTTTTGCTTGTCCTTGCTTCAGACAATTTTGTCCTACCAACGCAGCTTGTTGATTACCCAATATCTGTTTTTTTTTTTTTTTTTTTTTTTTTTTTTTTAATCAAATATTATTAATTATGTATTTTATTTTTTTTTTTAATAAATAATTTATAATAATTTACCCCAGATATTGGAATGCCTGACAAAGGTCCAACGGTGATTTTTCCATAAACTTCAGAACAGCTCTTTATTTCTGGCAGCAAACCCATGTCGATATCAAAGTACCTACACAGAGTAGGATCCCAGTTCAAAGTTTCTATGTTCATCAACATTGTTCTTGAAGCGTTGGTTACATCAGTAATATAAAGACCACCTTCTTTACCGCCAGTTAAATTCTAAAAAACAATCGAGGAATAATTTATAATTTGATTAATTAATTAATTAATTAATTAATTAATTAATCAATCAATAGATATAAAAAAAATTTACCCAAATAATCCAAGTGTCCAAAGTACCAACTTTGCATCTCTTATCACGTATCGCTTTTCTTACTGTAGAAACATTTTGCTTCAGCCATCGGATTTTTAATGCTGAGAAGTAGGGGCTTACTGGTAGACCGCACAGAGGCTTCAAATGATTTTTACTTTTATCAGGAAATTTTGCTATTATCTGATCGACAATTGTATCAGTACGAATATCGGACCACACTGTAATCAATATAAAATGAAAATTAATTTAAAAAGTTATAATCTGTATTATTAAGAGATTAAGCAAAATGACCTTGTATCTTGTGAACTCTTGACATTTTTAAAAATATAAGCTCATCCCGATATTATACTCATCAAGACCTTTCATTTGAGTACCCACATCAATTTTTCATATATTTTATATATTTATATATATATATATATGTATATATGAAAAATATATCAAAAATGCATGTGGGTACTCAAATGAAAACTCTTGATGAGTGTAATATCAGGATGAGCTTATATCTTTATAAATGTCAATAGTTAAGAAAATACAGTGGAATTTAACAAAAGTCATTATTTAATAAATAAATAATAACACGCACCAATAGCGTTATGAAGTGGCTCTCCAGTTGTTGAATCCCAAACAAATGTTGTTTCTCTAGCATTGGTAAGACCGACAGTGACAATATCAGAAGCACTTCCACCAATACCTTCAAGTTTTTTGACGACATCTTTTATACACGCTTTTACAGCAAATAAAATTTCCTTGGGGTCTTGTTCAGTCCATCCTTCTTGAGGACTCAATTGCTCTATGTCAATCGAATGGGATGCTACTTCACTGACACGTTTGGCCGTAAATATCTAAAAAATAAAATATTTGACTAAATAAACTCTTATAACTTAATATTTAGTTAATTAATTAGTTAAAAACTTACCACAAATCTGACAGTCCGTGTACCGACATCAATGACTCCAACAAGAGGTCCTGATTTTTTTGTTGAGCCCGGCAAAGCCTCTGTAATATTAATTAGCTGGTTTTAAAATTCATGAACTTTGTACTATTTAAATTTATAGTTAAAAAAATCAGTTTGAATTCATTAAAATGCGACCTCAAAGTACATATTTGTTTGATAATATATAAATTACTTTGATCTCATTACTGAAGTATTAGAAACTTTGCAATAAAAATATACATTAAATAAATTACAGTACATGCCTGCCGTAACATTTTCAGAGTTAAGATTTTCAACAGTTGATCCGGTAGGCGACGGACAATTGCTAACACTTTTTCTACCCATTTTTTTTATTAAAAATTCTTAACTTTCACTTTATAAATAAATGTTAAAATAATTTAAATAGTTAATTTACTAATAAAAAATATATAAATGCATTTGATACTGTTGAAAAAATAAGTAAAAAAATTTCCAAGTCTCAATATTGCATACTGAGTAAACTAATTCGTCTGGAGAAGACTTAGCCAGACGAGGGGTATAGTATCCAAGTAGTGTGTAAAGTGCAATGTGAGTTTATACTGATCACTGCCTACTCATTTTATTTCCGTTTTGTTTTTTATTTTATGATATGCCGGTACATTCAGGCGTGATGTCACTACATTCGGCGGAGTCCGATTGGCTGACGGTGGAGGCTTGTGCCTTCTCCTCTCTCTTTAGCTGCTCCGATATTGTTATTATCGTTCAGACGTCTATATTTCAAACTTTTTTTTTTTATTTATCGCTGGGAATTTTAAAATAAACAGTCATTAATTTTTTTCTTCTTTTTTATAAGGAAACTTTTGAACTAAATTTTTTTTGACATAAAATAAACTTTTAAGCTGTGACATTTAAGTTTATCGATTAAAAAATTCCACGTGTTGTCGCGGTAATAAATAATATAAATGTAACAGGATCTTGTGATTTTTTTTTTGGCAGCTCTTTAAACCGTCTCGTGATGCTCAATCTCGTGTTCTCGGGCTCGCACATCACCTATCTGATATTCATGACTTTATTATTAGAATACAAAGCTACATAGTAAGACATCTGTCACAATAAAATTCGAGTTAATTTACAGCATTTATTTAGCTCTTTAAAATTCCTGATAATTAGAATGAGAAAGAAAAATTACTCTGGTAATAATTCAGTAATCAATTAATAAAACAATAAACTCGATGAAACTCTGTTATCGCTTCTAGACTTTGATCGACGTAATTTGACCGTATATACTTGTTCATAAAGATAAAAATTAAGTTTCGTTATAGAGCGACTATAAATAATGCACTACTTGTAAAATTCCTAAAAAAAAAAATTATTATTTTTATAACAATACCTGTTGATTTAAATGAATAGTACTTGAAGATACTCGTTTTTCTTTTTAATCCTTTTTTATCTCTCGACAGTTCAACAGCTGGGGATGATAAACTCTGAGACTCATCAAAAGCATCATCTTGAACTTCTTCCTCAACATCATCACGTGGCTCCATTATTTTTTTTTTTTTTACAGAACCTTCAGGATGATCTTCTCGGTGTTAATTATCCAACAGTGTAAATTTATTAATCAGCGCTGAAACAAAAAAAATTTTTAATAAATTCGCAGACTATTATTATGTAGAAAGATAAGAACTGTATACATTATAAATTATAATTTATAGTATAATAAAAGGATGAGCTAAAACCGGTTGAGTTTGGATTGTCATTAAAATATTAAGTAAGTATTTAAAAGAGCAAACCAGACCGAATGACTACAACCTATCGAACTACTATCCTCCGACGTGATTCAAAGTTGGCTCGAATACATTAAATGCTTTCATGTCTCATCATCATGGCCAAAATTCTTAGTTACGACATGTCCTAAAACTTACCTACATTTATATTTTTAAAATTTAAAACAATTCACAGAAAAAAAAATTAATTTGAATCAAGTAAATAATTTTTAACTTGATTCAAATTATTTTTTTTTTTTTTTTTTTTTGCGTTGTTTTACTTATTTTTTTTCCCCTCTAAAATTATCAATAATTATTTCAGCTTGAGTTTTCATCAGCTATAAATTTATCTGATCAATACAATTTAGTTAGCATTAAATAATTTATTGACACCTCAGGTGTAAAATAAATTAACATGTCTAGAAGATTAAAGCCATTGTTATAATTAAATTGTCAAAAGTTAAAACAATTATTATTATCATCATCATCACCGATAGCAAAAGAGTAGTCAAAGTCGCTTCTACAGTATTGTTTTAATTAAGTAAATTATCGAATCGATGACGGTTTTTATTGTACTTGAGTACTGGACATGATGTGGTCTGGTATTAGGCCGCATGATGCGTAGGTTTTCCTGAGAAGCATCGGACTACCTGACATTACACGTTAGCTTGATCCTTATATACTAAACTGCACTATTAACAACCACCTGCGAGAAGATAGAAATAATTAATTTTCTCATTAAATATTCAGCGAAATTATTTTATTTTTCTTCTCAATTATTCTTCAACATGTTGTTCAATTTTAGGTAGCGCTAGAATTTTTTAAAATTCAAACTACAATTTAAAAAAAATTTTTTCAAGTCGATTTTAGACTTTTGCGAAACTCGCGAATATTTTGCAATGTTAGCGTCCATCTAGCGGTTGGTTTGATAATACATAGACGCGGTTTGTTCAAACTCTTGATAAAATCACTGCAAGTAAATCCTTTTAAAAAATTTTATTTTAACTAAAAACTTGAATTTTTTATCAGTGAATATCTAGATTGGAATTTTTGATAATTTTTAAAATTCCTGATAAGAATTACTGCTGATATTAGAATAGATGTACGCAATCACAGTAATTTGTAATTTTTTATAAATATAATCTTTTTCCTGTAATTTAATACTACTTACGTAACTTAAAAAAAAAATAATAAAAAGTAAAATTATATATTTTTAAACTCAAAAAGTCCCTAAATTTATAAATAGTTGACCTTGGTTTAAAAATTTGCGTTAAAAATTAATTCTAAAAAAAAAAAAATAAATAAGGAAAAATAGATAATTATTAAAAAATGATAATTCAACTGTTCTTACGTCATTAATACCTTAATTTAAAAAAATAATTACATGTAATTTTCAGTCGACTACTTCGCGCCAATTATATCTTGCACATTAAATAAATTTTCATGCGTCACTGTAAATAAAAAAAATAAAATATTACTTTACTATCGATTTACACGTCTTATTGTAATTATATGTCACAACAAATTGACCGTTGCATTAAAAAAGTATATACACGTGTTGCTAATGCATTTTTATGGTACCAGTTAAAGTTATGTCACTCTACCATGCACCAAATTCATTTCTTCTGATAAAAAAATTCTAAATTAAAAAACAAAATAAACAATTATTAATCCAAACTCTCAATACACTTAAAATTACAGATAATGGAGTAAGGAGTAAGGAGTTATTGAAAATAAATAAATAAAAGGATACTTACGAACAAGTAATTGACAGTAGCCAGTATCACGCAACACTCGTAGATAGTATCGTGTATGAAAATAATGGTCATGCGCAACGATTTACTGTTCTTGGATTTCAACTAGTCAATAATATTCAACAGAGAGCAATAGATCAGCCATCATTCAATGAAACCTTTCAAATTACTTAGCAATCACGATAATTAATAGCAAATCTGTCTATTTATCACCACACAAATGACATGATGATAAAAAAATTTTCTTTTTCTTCATGAGCTAGCTTGCCGCATTGTGGTAATCGACTTTAGCCCGCCCTGACCTTTCCTTTGGTACACTGCGCAAGTTAAAATCAACCATGTGCCACAATTTACCAATCTCGGTCAGATATTTAACAATTATTTTGTTTACAATTCTACTCTAATTAAACCAAACTAATATTAAAGACGTGTCAAATTCTAATGAGTGTTGCTGATGATCAGTCCTTGTCACTTTCTGTTATAAATACCAATTATTATTATGAAGCTGAGGGTAGCAATGAACAATCACACCGACACTAACCACCTTTGATTGTTGCCTAACACTGACATAATGAAAAATTACTCAGATTTGCACACAACTGCTGACTTATTTCCAGCTTTTTAATTGGCTGATTAAATTCTCATCTCGAATCCAATTCGTCTCTTCTTTCCCGCCAGGAATTAAATTGATTTATTTGATAGATAAAAAAAATTATTTGCACATGTAGCTCCAGATATTTACATATAAACCTGTTTACTTAGACTGGTGCGGTGTCATATTTACTATTTACATTTTATTTTATGTGATTGTACGTTCAGGTGGATGAAAAAATTTCAATTTTTTTAATTGGCAATTCTGAATTTTGTTTTTATAATTTTTATTTGTGATGTTGAGTGTCTTGTGTTGTATTAATAGGAATCCCATGTATCTATGGAGGGTAGAGGTATATATATATATATACAATACTTAAATATTAACCGGCATTATTTCTTTTATTTCAAACTAATATTTAATTTATTTATATAATAATAAACACATTTTTTAATCATTATAAAAATATCACTACAATATGACTATAAATTAATATTTATAAGATTAAAGTTAGTAGTGACACTTGATAATTTTTTAATTTTATTTAACAAACAAATTTGGTCTAAAAAATTAAATTTTTAATTTTTACATATCAATTTTTTTGCCATAATTTATTTGTTAAAAATATTTTTAAAATTATCAAATATCTGCTAAATTAATTTTAATTAGTATTTATGTATTGATTTGATGCACAGCGAGTTTTATTTTGCTACTAATATATCCTCCATGCTTATTTTGGATTATCAATAAAAAAAATCAAGATTAATAGTAAAGAAAAAAACAATATAGATCTATTATTAATATTTACAATACTTAATAGTATGTCTAAAATATTAATAATTAAAAAAAAAAATATACATTAATATTTATTTATAAAAAAAGAAATCCAGACTTAAAATTATTCTTCCCAGTCGTCAGCATCGGGCTGTGAATCGTATTCGCTTGTAGAATTACGATCAGAAGCTTCATTAGGCTTAGGTGGCGGCGGAATTAAACGAGATATTCTTTCTAAAGCTCCAATAGACCCACCAGCTCCACCAGCACTGCCTCCAGCAATGCCTTTACGCCTCAGTGAGAGCTTTGCGTGTAAATCGGCCATCAAATCGCCGCCTACAGCGGCCGATGACCACCTGTCACTGGGTTTTTCAGCGGTAGTCTGACGAAGTTTAGCCTTGCCAATCCCTCCAGCAGCTCTAATAGCTTCCATTAAATTACTGCGATCGTCGGTTGAGGCTGGTGGTTTCGCTGTAGGTTTCATTTCTACTTTCTGTTCTTTGGATTCAGCAGTCGCTGATGAAGAAGCTGGAGGTGGAGGTGGAGGAGGTGGAGGAGGTGGAGGAGGTGGCGGCGGTGGTGGTGGTGGTGCTGATGTAGATGTTAGAGGTATCGGTAAGCTTTCAGGTTTAGTAACTGGAGGAGGAGGTGGAGGTGGCGGGAGCGGAGCCGGTATTGCCGAGGTTTCTGTATTGTCTTGATCTAAATTGGGAAGATTTGGAGGATTTTGAATTTGTTTGGTCTGTTTATCGTCCTTTACTGTCATAGCAGCGTCTGGAAGATCGATTCGTGCTGTCGGTGATGTTACTGCTGAGGATGGGGCTATCGGGCTTTGAAAACTCAAGTCTAGGACAAATTTCTCATCGTCTACTATTCCTGGAAGATCTGGTAATATCGCTGGTACATTTATTTGCGGAACCTAAGCAATAAATAATTAATAATAATTAATAATAATTAATTTGATAATCAATTTATGAAATCAAAAATATATTATCCTAACAAATAAATAAATAAATAAATTAGAACTTACCTCGCCTAACATCGGAGCATATAAATATGATGGTGAGTCAAAATCCGATGACTGCCACGGCTGATTTATTGAATTAGGAGCATCTTCAATTTTTCTCTGGTTATTATTGCCAAGTTCCGAAGACAAGCCCGTATATTTTTTAGATATTTTATCATCATCATCAATTAGCAATGCACTTACTGACGATACTCTCGTTACTGGAGTCTCATTTGTTTTATCCAAGCAGTCTTTTTTCAATGACTTGTTCATGACATAATAAAATTGTAATTTTTCTTTGAGCTTCAATTCGCTGGCATAATGATCAGCTCTGACACCTGACTCAGTTGGACGCCGTACAGAAAAACTCTCCACTTGGCTCGTTACTTCATTAGTTACCTCTTTTGGATTATTTATAAGTGTTTGATACTCTTTGTAAGTCGAATACGCAGGGTACTTGGCGTCTGAGTACATTTTTATCGCTTTCAAACTCATATTGTTTTGTAAATAAAATAATTGATCTTGAAGCTTAGTAGCTTTTTGTTTTACATCTTGGAGTCTGAAATAAATTCATTATTCATTTTTACATTGTAATAAATAAATAAAAAAAACAAAATTACCTTTTTGAATAATTAGAAACTCTGTTATCAATTGATTGAAATATTTGTGAGGCTGCTGATTGTAATGCATCAAGGCTATTTGCTATTTGCATTATTGTTCCTTCATGACTGCTGTCATTAGAAATTATTCCTAGAATTTTTATTACTCAATTACTGATAAAATTAATTATTGTTTAGAATATTATCGAAAGTCTGTCAGTTATTTTCAGTTGTTTCAATTGTATTATTACTTATTAACTCACCGATTTCTATTCTTTCCCGCATCTTGATTTTATATTTATATATTTCGTAGTATATTTATACACTCACTTCATAATAAATTTAATTAATAAATAAATTTATAGGTTAAAAATGATTTAAGATAAAAAAAAATTATCAAACGTCAAATTTATTGTTGAAAATGTTTCAGGCGAGTTTTAAAAGTCAAATTATTCGCTCTGTCATTATTGGAAAAAATGTAAACACCGAACAGGTAAAATATTATTTACATGTAAATGAAACCTAAAATTCAGTATAAACGGAGCACGCAGTACACAAGCACGTTGGAGAGTTTAAAGTTGATAATAATAACAATAAAAACAGTTTAAAGTTTATCTTTTGATTTATTTATTTAAAAATAAATTTAAAAAATGGATTGCTCCAACTTGACATCTCCTCATTTGTTATCTGACTGTAAATTACGCGAGATATTGAAAGATGTATGTATTAATGCAGGTTATATTTTATTATTAAACTATATTGTTTGTTTACTTGATTGTTAATCAATAAATTTTTTTATTTGATATATTTACAGAAATGTATTGTCATAAAAGACATTGGATCTATGGACAAACTAAAACTACTTGAGGTTTTTAAGCGGATTGCTTTGCCGATGCCGCAAAGAAAATACAATGACCAGAGATCATTGGGTAAAAAATTATGTGAACTAAGAGTGACTAAAAACATAAAAATTTCTGATATTGAACAGTCAAGGTAAGTTTTTTTTTTTTTTTTTTATGTAAATATACTCTATTTGATAAAATTTTACGACATTAAAGTTAGCAGTCACTTGACAATTTTTTAATTTTATTTAACAAAAAAATTTCTTCCAAAAAATTGCATTTTTTATTTTTTAAAATTTCTGCATGTCAAGTTTTTTTCTAATTTTTTTTGAACTAATTTATTTCTTAAAAAAATTCTAAAATTTATTAAATATCTACTACTTTAATTTTCATTAATATTTGCAGAGAGACACTTGATAAGTCATTTGAGAATGACGATACAAATCATTTAAACACAAGTGATAAAAATGGTATTTTAAAATCTCCTATTAATAAATTAAAATGTGAGCAGAATAATATAAGGCTGTCTAATGATATTCATCAAGTTTCAAATGATCAGAAAAGGAAGAGTAATGTATGAAATAATTTATTTATATTATTATTGTTTTTATCTAAGTTTAGTACCTTAATATATTTTTTTTTTTATATTTTGCAGTCGTCTTCCAATCATTCTCCACCAAAACGTCAGAAAATTTTATGGCCGTAAAATTTTTGACCTTAATGATTGTAAAACGCTCGTCTTCATCAATTTATTTTAGTTTTAATGCTTCATTCATGATATCGCAATAAGTAAAATAATTTTTTTAATAGTATTAAGCATACTTAAATCGCTTCTATAGAATTTAATTAAATATTAATTGTAAAATTAAATTGAGCTGAAAAACTATATCATTTATTTATAAAATAATATTATTTGTAGATTGGAATTTATTTAACAAAATATTTCAAAGTAAATTTAATTTGAGATTAATTACCTTGGTATGTTTTTTTTTTTTTTTTTTTTTGTTAATAATTAAGACAAATAAATTTTTTTAATTTTAATTTTTATTAATGCTAATTTTTTAACATATATACGTCCAATACATGAGAAAATGCATAACAAATATTAAAGAACAAAAAATAAAATAAAAATATAACAAAAACATTATTTATGACTCGTTGCATTATACAAAATACTTAAAGATACATGGCACAAAATAATTTGGAAGCATTATAATAAGTTTAAATATTCACTGTACAAAAGACTACTCAATTAGAATCAAGGAAGATATATAATTATCAATATTAATATTAATTATCACTTATCAACATAATTAAATGTCATTAATCACTGGTAAGGAATGTTTTTGATAAAAATAATTAATTTTATAATCAACTATTATGTCACAACTAATTTTTTGTGCTCATTCCCTAATATTCACATACTCCCAAAGTTTTATGATTGGTTGACTAAATTGACTGTTTGAGAATGACACTGTGAAATGCTGATTGTATTTTAGACAGGTGTTTCATGATCAGTCTCTTCAATTCTTCCCAATCTCCAAGCATTTGGATCTCCAGCAGCTACAATTTTTTATTTAATTAATATTCTACTAAATTAATTTCATTATTGATTATTTGATCAGAATTTTAAAAGTGCTTTCAATTTATCTAATTTATTAGACGAGCAATACTCTAGTTAAACTAATTACAGAGGAGAGATGCTTCACTTTAATTCAATTTAAAAGTTAAAAAAATTATCTGAACTTACCACAATAATAGTATCTAATCCTAGGTAAACCTAGACAAATAAATTGAAAATTATCAATAAAATAATATAAATAAAAATAATATTTATAATTTTTAATAATTAAATTTAATGAAATTAGCATGATGAAAAACGTACGGGTTTTATTTTTATGATGTAGCAATTAAAAGTTGTACTGTATAATTAATAATAATAATAATAATAATAATAATAAAATTTAGTGATTTATTTATTTAGCGCGATACGTAGAATAAATAAAATAAAACATAAATGCTCAATGAATTTAAAATATATTAAATAAAAGTGGTTGAGGCGAGGAACAAGTGTGGTATATTTTAAACATCTATTTGACAAGTGTTTATAGAAAAAAAATCTAAATAATAATAAGAGTAGCATAAATAAATAAAATAAAAATTATCAAAAGGAGTGGATAAATAACTCACCTGGATATTATCGGGAAGAAAATAATTGAGTAACCCATTGGCATTGACGTACGTACTTAATACACAGCAGATGTACACATTGATGTACCAAACATAAATTCAGATGAAGGATCGAAGATATATATTTATGTGTATATATAAATTTTTGTTTTTTAATTTATAATTTTGTTTGTTGGAAAATGGTTATTAAACAATTAGGATTCTGATTGGGAGGAATTGTCATTGGTTGTTTTGGTATAAAGGGGAAGTATATAAGGCGCGTGAAGATGGTTTAGGTGATGCAGTGCGTTGTTCAACACATCGGGGCTCGTATACAGCAGCGGCACTCTCTCCTCTACCCAAACCAAAACCAAAAAAATACCAACTAAATTATAAAGATGACAATGCATGATTTCTTCTTTTTTTTTTTTTCTAATGTACATTGATGTGTGTAAAATTAAATAAAATAATAATAACTTTAAATGAACAGTAAATAGCGTTGAAGTGGCTAATTGTTTAAATAAAGAGCAAATTATAAATTATAAGCAATTACATTAAGCTATTATAAATAACACTCTTTGTATTTAAGGAACGTGCAGAGTAAATACAGGATTTATTCTTTTTATTTTACTTAATTTTTTATATTATTTAAACATGCTAATATGATGAGATAATGATTGCAAATGATTTTTAAATAAATATATAATTTGCAACGTAATTTAATTAAAACATATCAGTGTTTTATGAAATTTACCGTTGATTTGTCACTATTTTAATATTTGAACGTTTTCTATTCTCATTTCATTTATTGTTTAATAAAATATTTATTTACCTTGAAGTTGACGACTTATTAGTGCTGTAATTCCGTGATTATCTGACTTTTTAACGACAAATAATTTAGTATCTGCATCAGTTTCTAAATTTCCAACTCCACCTAGTCCAACAACTTGCCCGTTTTGCCCATGGTGTTGGTGAGTACCCGCTGCCATTGTTTCACTTACCTAAATATTATTAAAAATTATTTTATCATTAAATTTAATAAAATTTTACATGAAAATTAAATTAGCTGACATCGAAAAAATTTTTAAAAATATTTTTTTGAAAAAAATCATTTTAAAAAATTAAAAAAAAAATTTTTTACTTATTATTTTTATTGAAAAAATCAAAAATTATCAAATGTCTGCTAACTATAGTATCATAAATTCAACAACTTACTTGCATAAATTTTTTGACAACATCTCTACCTAATATATGATCAAAGACTGCTTGTAAAAATTGATCTGTCATTATACTCAATTTTAATTTATCTCTATGCCAAAGTAATATTCTAGAATCTTCCATTGCCGTTATTGATACCTTTAAAATGAATTATTAAAAATGAAAAATAAAAAAAGTAATAATTTATCATTAAATAAAATTTACCTGAAAGAATTCATCAGTGGATACTCCAAACCATTCAGGTGAATCAAGAAATTGATGAGGGAAGACAATGTGAAGTGCTCTACCATTTTGTGATACAACTAGTCTGTTAAAAAAACAAAAATTAATTAAATAAAATATTTTTTATATGATATAACTTTTATACTTTAAAAATAAAATCAATAACTTTAACTAACTTTCCCGAAAGTACTAAAGATAAAGAATCTACTTTAGTAGATTTTTCTTGTGCATAAACTTGTTGATACTTTAAAGGTTTGATGGCTTTCATACAATTTAATACTTTTTTAAATTGATGCCTTGAAACTCTTAACGGTTGAAATACTGCTGCATAAACCTAAAATAAAAATAAATAAATAAATAAATAAAGGGAAATTTATGAATAGAGTGTGTTTAGTGATCATGTATGATTTTTACCTCTTCAACTTCTTTTGAAAATTTAATAGGTCTTAAACGATAGAGTAATGTGCAAACGTGGACAAAATTAATAGCTACAAATAGACCATTCCACATAGTGGCGTCAAACCAGCAGACTATTGTCCATCCCCATAATGCAAGAAATGCGCAACCAATTAATAATGTGCATCTCAAATATAATACACCGTGTATTCCACTTGGAGCTAAATGCGACAATAAAAAAAAGGCATTTGCTAACTGAAAGTAGATGTGATTAACATAAATTCCACGATAGGGCTGGCAAGTGAGAGCTCCGCTTAAAAATGATGGAGGCACTGTTGGTGGATAAGGATACCCAGAGTCATGGCTCACCATCGACAAACCTGTATCTTTTAAATTAAAATATAATATTCAATTATTAATAATATTTTCGTTTGTTAATCTATCAAAATTAATGCCAATATTTTATTATCATATGATAGATATTGATATTCTTTTGTCAAAAAACCAAAATTTATTTAACATGATTTTAACAATTGATGTATGAATAATTGAGATATGTGTTTTGATGTATTCTTAGACTTTGAATAAATATTTCCATCAAACTGTGAATTGTTATTATTTTATGAACAAGACAATTAATTTATTTTAAATGATACTTGAGCCAATAAGAAATTTTTTTTTTTTCTCAGTGTATGTATAATTATAGACAAAGTCATTTAATTTTAAAGAATCAAGTTCAATATGATAACCTTTTGTCCCAAAATTATAAATATCCTTCTCTATAAATATCCCTTCATTATTTCATTATATTGATTTTTAAATTTAACTATTAGGCACGTGTTAAATATATTGATGTAAAACAAATATGAAAGTATTAAAAAATTACCAGGATTGAGGACAGAAGTCATGTTAGTACATTTATGATCAATATTTTCCGATGCCTTGAGAATGTCTTGCGGTGTATCGGCATCCTTGGAAATACGGGGTACGGCGGCATCAGTTATTTGTGCATTAACACAAATCTGACAAATAAATAAAATAACTAAACAGGTTGCAGAGATTTGAGAGTCTCTGCTGATGCCTTCTTGGCATTTTTTTTGGTGTAAATGCATCCACATACCCGCATTAGGATACAATTAAACTTTTACACTTTTTCACGTTATACCCTACCGTAGTATTTATTTAAAATATTATTTTTTTTTAATTGACCAATTTACCAGATAAAAAGTATTTATTTGTAAAAGACAATTTAATGGATAATTGTCACTCCACAGTAGTTTAGTTGTTATCCAATTACTTTGTTGTGCATTGCCATCTCCATGGACATTTTTTTTATTTATTTTCACGTGTCAATCATCCTAAAAATTTAATCAGTTCTTAATTATTGCAAGTCACTCAATAAAATTATTTCAATGTCAATAACTTGATAAAAAATTACAAAAACTTTTAATTTCATTTAAATAAATAATATATTCTACTTATATTAAGGATCATTAGACAGACTTACGTATAGAATTGTTTAAATATGGTGTGTAGGTGTCTACTCCATTTCAAGGATATTAAATTTTTTAAAAAGAAATTTTAACTCATATTTTTAAATCCTCTATATTGTTTATTTATTACTTTAAATAAATATTTAACTTTTTTTAAACAATTAAATCACTGTAAAAAATTATTTACACTCCAATAAATCCTTAAAGTATCAGAAAAATGTCAATTAAAAAACACAATGCACAAAAATGGTTGGATATAAAACAGTATACGATATCTTTGACACGAAATTTTCAAATAAAACACTTTTCATGTTTTTATAAGTTATATTGTCAATGTAATGCTTTTAAAAAAAATTTTTTTACTGTTTAGTGACGACGTAATTTTATATAAAGGAACTGGTTTTGAATTTGATTGAACCAAAATAAAAAACAAATTATATGTTACATTATTAAATCATGTATAAAGATATTGCCGAAAGTAGCTACGGTTTATAGATGGGTAAAACTGTGTCGGTCCTTGACTTTAAACATCTATGCATCTATCGGTGACCCACATGGACTCCGAACTCATACATAGGTAAGAATACATATTTTATTATCCAGGTACGCGTGCGCCAAAATCCCGATTTTATCTTCAAATGGCTATACTATGTTTTAAAGGTGTCACACACATTTGAGTATATGCATTTTTATAATAATAATAATAATAATAATTAATTGCCAGTAATAAAATTAATTAGTACAATAAAATTTATCATCAATAAAAAATTATATTTATTTTTTACAAAAAATAATTCTCAACGTCATTCATTTTTTTCGGAGTTTTTAATTTGATCTTTAAAATTATACGCGATGTCTTTTAATTTCTCCAAGTCATTTTCTAATAATTTCCGTGTTTCTTCTTTTGCTACTGCATCATTGGAGCTCAGTAATTCCAATACGTGATCTGAAGAAATAAATATAATGTTAATCATATCAAAAATAAATAAATAAATAAAGTTAGCCGACGTTTTTAATTTTTTGATTTTTTTCGTTTATTAAATAAGAACTAAAAAATATTTTTAAAAAATTGCACTGATAGTTTTTCAAGTTTTTTTACAAGTGCAATTTTTTATTTTCTTTTTTTTGTTACAATTTTTTAAATAAAAAAATTTTTAGAATTTTTTTTTTTTAATTTTCACTTGTGAAAAACTTTAAAAATTGGCAGTGTAATTTTTAAAAAATATTTTTTTATCAAAAAATTATAAACGTCGGCTAACTTTAGTGTCATAATAATTTACCGTGATATCCCATGAGTAAAGTACAAGTTTCAGGAATTAAAAATGCTTGAAGAAAAGATAAAACAGAAGAAACATGTCTACCAGACATGTGAAGAGCAGACTGAGTAGCAGCTGTAAATAAAATACTGGTTGTCAAGTGAAGAGCCAAAGCAGGATCTTCAGTTTGTTTCAATTCTTCTAAAAGAGCTTGTTTGTGACCAAGTATAACAGCCTTTTCCCGTTTCTTATCAAATTTCTTCAGTACCAAGCAACAGGCGGCCATCGCCGAATCAGCAGAACTTAACAAATCTTCAATGGAGCCTTTTGCGACAGCTCTGTTAACATTTTCAAGATCAGTTTTAATATCGTCAGGCAATTCAAGTATCATTTTCTGTCGTGACTCTGTCGTTAAATTAGTCGGACACTGTAAAATATTTTGTACAGCTGCTAACTTTAGTAACTCATTTATAAAATCAATACCCAGTGTTTTGATTAAATATTTTGTCAATGAATTAACAGTATCTTTGTTGCCTATTAATTTGATCCCTTTCTCAAATATACGGATGTTTGTAATCAACATGTTTAATTTATCTTCAACATCGCTGAAGTTTGTTGTTTTGGTAGCTTGGGAAAATTGCTCAGCTAATTTAAATGATAATTTATTCAACTTCACAAGGAAATAATTAGTTAACTCATCAACAAGTTCTTCAATATCTGATAAATTTTCATATTTATTGAGTTCTATCTTCAAATCTTGCGCTGAAAATAATATCAATTCAAATTTATCAGAAGCTTTGGGTTTATTATCGTCACTATCATAATCATTGTCATTATTTTTTCCCTGATGATATTTTTTCTTAGTTGATTTAGTTTTAGTCTCTCGTCCTTGAGCTCCACCTCCAGCCTTACCACTGGCAGCCTTCTTTCTCCGGTCATCTTTTTTATTACTACTCTCAAATTTGTTATCATTATTTTTATTAGCTTTTATCTTACTCTCAGCAACGTATTGGAGCCACTTGCCACTATTGACAGCCTCTTTGGCTTTTAATTCGGCAATTGATTCGAGTTTATTATTTAAATTATGTAAAAAGGCCTCTGAAACAATGACGGTAGTGACAAAAATATGAAAATTTTTTTTCAAACGTTTTTGCGCGTCTTTTAATAGGATTTCAATATCCTCGGGTGAGAAAACTGATGGCATAAGAGGATAAATATCAACGAATGAACTTGTAGCGATAACTTCTTCAATATTGGCATCTATTTGATCAATTATTGCTGGACCCACAGCAACGCTGTCCAATAGTATCGGTGTGTTTTGTGGAAAGTGACGTTTTATGTAACTTTTTCCGTCATTTATTCCCAGGCGAGTCAGGGCATCATACTCTGTCGATAAAAATAATTATTTATTTATTTATAAATAAAAATTAATGTCTGAATAATAATAACTAGCAACCTTGCAGTCACTATGTGACTGAACTATAAATAAATAAATAAATAAATAAATAAATAAAATTTTGTTTCATTAAATAATGACTTTTGTTAAATTGCACTGTACTTTCTTAACTATTGACATTTTTAAAGATATAAGCTCATCCCGATGTTACAATTATCAAGAGCTTTCATTTGAGTACCCACATGCATTTTTGATATATTTTTCATATATACATATACATAAAAGATATAAAATATATTAAAAATTGATGTGGGTACTCAAATGAAAGGTCTTGATGAGTGTAATGTAAGGATGAGTTTATATCTTTAAAAATGTCAATAGTTTAAAAGATACAAGGTCATTTTTTAATTGTGCATCTAGAGATAGAGCATTTTCGAATGCAGCCTAAGTACTTATCATAATAAATTGACTATCGGTGAGAATTATATGACTATCCTGGATACAAAATTTTTTTTATTCTCTTTTAATAATATAGATTATGATATTACCTAAGTAGCCATTTTGCTTGTAAAAATTGTTGACCCATTCTGACTGTGTTTTAGAATAAATTGTTGGTACATAAACTCCGCTATTTATTTGTTTGTTAGTAATTACACCTGGTGCTTCTCCTGTATTTTGTAAATCATCAAAAATAGCTGAAAACAATATAAATTATAAATTACTTATCAAAATAATTTAAAAACACCTTTTTAAATTAACTTACAGAAAAAAATTCTCTCAGGAACATTAGATTGACCAATAATAGCAGACAGTGGTGTAGGAATCGTAATAGCAGCAAGTGCTCCGCGAATTTTGCATTTATTTCGTGCAATAAAATTGTCAGTATAGAAAAATTTAGGGTCCTGCTTATCCTGCTGCCCTTGAATGGATTTACCCAGAGCTTTCTCAGTAAGTGATTGCAAAAAATCAGCAGGTAAATCATAATGAACCGTCAGTTCAGCAATATTTATGTGACCAACTTGGTTTAGCTTATCATTTATTTCCGTGACTATTTTAGTGACATAACTTTGATCTATCAGCTGACCCAAAAGTATTCTAACTCCTTTGTCATGCTTTTCTATTTCAGTGGCTATTTTAGATACTTGAGTAAAGTCAACATTTAATATTTTTGTTAGTTTAACTAAATCTATTCTACCACCGCTCATATACAATTCATCTCTTATTTCTTTTTCAAGATGTTGTGGTGTTATGTATTCTTTTCCATCAGCTGTAAATAGAACACTCAATAAATTTGTTTCTATTAACTTTGTTATTATTTCAACACAATTTCTTTCAGATAACCTGCAAAATAATTAATATTAATAAAATATAAATTAACTCTAATTTTATGAACCACAAAATATTAATATAAATAAAAAATATTTATATTTACTTTAATAATGTAGAACTGAGTTGAGCCTTTTGAAAGTCAGCGGCTAATCTTTTAACTTCATCCCAATCACCCGAACTCATTTTTATAATTTAAAATTTATTAACAATATTAATTATCCAATTATTAAGCTTTGATTAATAAAATATCAATAATTCATCAGATTTATGAACAGCTGGTTTGCTGGTTAGCAGTAAGCCAACCTGTCACCTCTAACACACTGCACAACACACTCTCACGAACTGCTAGAGCCATCTGAAGGTAAAATCATGACAGCATAAATATATAAATTTACACGTGATGATAATAATAATAAATGTCACACAATAACAATACAAACAGTATTCAATATTTTTGACAACATAAGTAAATAAATTGACCAACAAAAAAAAATTTTATTGTCTCTAAGTATTTATTACTTTTTATTTTTTTTAATAATGTTTCTTAAACCAATAAAAGTCAAGTCGAATAATCAACTCAAGGGAACTGAAAGGTTAGTTTTAAATAATTATTTATATAAATTTTAATTCAACAATTAAATTTGTTTTTTATTTCAGAAAAAAATTATGTGAAGATGTATTGAGTGCATTTCCATCTTTAACTGACAGCCAAGTACAAAATTTATTACCAAAAAAGGAGGCAATAAGTTTTATGAAAGCAGTAACACACAGTGGAGAAATATGTAAATTATATTGTGTTGCTAAAATTCCAATGTTCTTTCAACTTGATCAATCTCAATCAACAGTGCCATTATTTCCAACAATATTTTCACTCTGGCAATATCCTAATTTATTGTATACATTTAAAACTCATAATGGTGTTATTCCTAAGCTGGCAAGTGGAGCTGGCTTGATGTTACCTGGTGTTATTTTAGATGGACCACCTACATTCCACTCTTATGGTAAATTATTAAGAAATACTCCGGTTGCAGTAATCACGGAAGACAATATGGTAAGTAATAATTAATAATATTAGTTAAAAAATTAATTTAATAATAAAACAAAAAGAAACGGAGTATTTTTTAAATTAAATAAATAAAAACATAGGCAGCAGTTGCCGTTGGCGTGACATCACATTCCTCAGAAGACATGTACATGTCTGGTGGTCGTGGCAAGTGTGTTGATATAATACACGTGATAGGTGACATGTTATGTCAATTGGGAAAACCACCAGCTAGGCCACAAATAGATCCATCTTTTGATAATGAAAAAGTTGACGAGCCAGCCGATCAAGAACCTAATGGTGAACTCACTCAAGTTACTGATGATAAACCAGAATCCGTTGATAATGCTGAGCAATTAATTAACTCGATAAATTTAGAGGACAATAAAAATAATAGTAATGAGATTGAACAGGTAATTTTTTTTCATTCAAATTTTAAATAAATTTTTAACTATAATTATTTTAATAGGAAAATAAAGAACCAATTGAATTGATTGAAGATGTAGACCCCATTAAAGAGATGGATCAATTATTGGAGTACTGCTTTTTAAAAGCATGCAAAAGATTCAAAAAAACCGAATTACCGATACTCAGTTCAAGTTTTTTTAAAAATCATTTGATAGCTGCATGTCCTCCAGATCAAGTTGTTGATATTAAAAAGTCCAGTTATAAAAAATTGTCGGTATTTCTAGCAGCTATGAAAACTAAAGGAGTTATTGATACGACAATTCTCAAAGGAGTTGAAAGTATTACATATGTTAAGGTACATTATAACATATAAAATTTTTACATGCTATAAAAAATTGATATATCATATTGATTTAGACTGAACATCCATTATTAAAAGAACTGGTCATTAATGAATCATCAGATTGTGAACTAAATAAATCTTCAAATGCTCCAGTTGTCGCAGAGTGTTTTAAAGTAACTGCTAATGTTCTTCCAGTAGTTTCTAAATTTGGATACGAGTATGTATTAAATATTAGATAATAAAAATAGCAAATTACTTAAAAATTATTAAATAAATTAATAGGAAAGGTGATATTATGAAACGTCTGGAGATTCGTAAATGCTTCACTGAATATGTTAAAAAAGAAAATCTCCAGGATGGAAAGTAAGAAAGTAATATATTTATTATTGGCAATAAATTTATAAAATAATTTTAATTGACTATATTTATATTCTTTAGGATATTAAATATAAATCCTCAACTTGCGGATATTTTGCGTACAAAAGAAAATGTGTTGACATTAACGATGGAAGATGGAATAAATAAATTTATCGGACGAATGACACACACGCACGAAATAACTGTTGCCGGTACAAAGTTACTGCACACGGGAAAGTTAGAGCCTATAGATATTACCGTAGCTTCACGATGTAACAATAAAAAAGTAAAAAATAAATAAATAATTAATTAAACAATAACAAAGATAATATAATTAATGAAAAAAAAAAAAAAAAATTTTAGGTAACTCTCGTCAATAACTTAGAAACGTTTGGGATAAAACTTGATGAGTTCAGCAAAGAATGTCAAGGAATTGGCGCCAGCGCAACGATAACCGACATACCTGGTAAAAAAACTCCCAGTGTACTTGTACAAGGAAATCAAGTTCTTTATGTATATAAATTATTAACTGGTATGTTTTTATTTTTAATCACTCGATAGTAGTTAGATAAAATAATTAAATATTTTTTTTTAATTACAGATAAATATCGAATAAATAAGAATTACATTCGTGGCTTGGAATTTGCTCCGAAGAAACGTAAATAAATTTATAAAATAAAATTATTGACTATTTATCTGAAATAAAATGATGAATAATGAAGAATATTGAGTTATATTTATTTAACATTAAAGTTAGCTGTCACTTGACAATTTTTTAATTTTATTTAACAAAAAGATTTTTTCCAAAAAATTATTTTTAAAAAATTGCATTTTTAATTTTTAAATGTCAATTTTTTTTGCCATAATTTATTTGTTATAAAATTTTTAAAACTATTAAATGTGTGCTACATTAATTTTTATTTATTTAACATTTAAAAAATAGTATGAATATATACAATACTAAAGTTAGTCGACGTTTTTAATTTTTTGATTTTTTTTTAATAATTAAATTAGAACAAAAAAATATTTTTAAGAAATTGCACTTATAGTTCTTCAAGTTTTTTACATGTGAAATTTTTCTTTTAATTGTTTAATTGAAATTTTTTGAATAAAAAATTTCTAAAAATTTCTAAATGTCAGCTAACTTCATTTTCATAATATATTTATTTAAATGAATGATATCAAATTGTAAGTTTATTTGTCTCGAGGGTAAGTCTTAGTTGAGTTTTGAGATAGTAAAACGGAAATATCTTCGATGTGACTGACTTGTTAGTTTGCAAAGTAAAAGGGGTGACGTTGTTTTCCATTAAAACTAGTAACTTGTATGTCGGTTTCCAAGTTGTATTAACTAATGAAGCCGTGAAATTCGACTTATCCTTTAACGATATAATACTACCAGCAACCCACAAACATTCATATATATATATATATATATATATATATATATATACATATAGAAGAGAAGAGAGAGAGAGAGAGAGAGAGAGAGAGAGAGAGAGATATAGAAAGAGAAAGAGAGAGAGAGAGAGAGAGAGAGAGAGAGAGTAAAATTGAATTACCCGAGGGATGATAAACTAATTTTATTGTTTAAAAGAAAAATGAAAGTACATTACAGTTTGCAAAGTAATGGATCGAGGAAATAGTTGTAGTAGTGGTAGTAGTGGTGAAATAGCTGGCACAGCTACTGTCGGTGTTGATTCTAGTGATGCCGCTGCTCCTGATGGTTCTTGTCATCCTCTCGCTCGTTGCGGTTGAGCTTATAAACTCTCTTGAACCAACTCGAAGAAGGGGTTAAACGAAGAAGCCCGAAAAGCACCGGGCGCATGCGACCAGAGCTTTAGACACACGGTTCAACGACAGTCTTTCATTGGCGCTCATTGTGCGAGGTCCAAAGTAAAACCTCTATTTAAGTGGGGTTTATACTTTAAAAGGGTTACTTTTTTTTTAGTACGGCTAATTTATTATTCATTTACTCGTACTTGAGTCCTTCATTTTTATTCTTTTATTCTATTTTAATTCATAAATTAAATAAATAAAAAGACTGTTTAATAAATTAATTAACAAGTAACCAGTGAAGTATAAATTGAAATTCAATTTTGTTTTTTTTAGTTTATGTGGAAATATTATTAATCGCGATGCCGCGTGAGCCGAGACTGTGCACAGATTTAAGAACAAAAATAAAATGTAACGTTCATTCAGCGCACCATATTAGATCCCACGTGGATCTTTTCCTCGTGTTTATCAATCTACTTTTAATACTTACACCAAGTAAGTTTTTTTTTTTTTTTTTTTTTTTTTTTTTTTTTTTTAAAATTATTATTAATATATCTACTGTGTTTTTGTGTAGTTTTTTTTTTTTGACGTATTTCAATATTGATAATACTCTAATGAACCCGCCAGTTCAAGTACTTTTTGTCTGTCAATCATATTCCTCTTTCTCTATAGCTTTTTATTTTCATTCTTTCCATGATTTTGACGGGATTTTGATTGCTTGTCACTCAATCTCTCTATTCAGTTTATAATTATTAAAAATAGTTTAAATTTATGTAAAAATAATACACTAAAATATTTGAAGTTTAATAAAAAAATAAATTAGCCGACATTTCAAAATTTTTATAATTTATTTTATTGAAAAGTAATTTTTAAAAAATTAAAACAAAAATTTTCACATTTTAAAAAGTTTTAAAATTACAAGTGGAATTTTTAAAAAATAGTTTTTTAGTTATATTTCTTAATTAATAAAAAAAATAAAAAATTTTGGAGTGTCGGCTAACTTAATTTTCATTGATACTGAAGTTAATTGACAACTGTCAATTTTTTTAATTTTTATAACAAATAAATTACAATAAAAAAAATCTTCTAAAAATTTTCACTAAAAATTTTTTTATTTAATTTTTTTCATAACAATTTAATTGCTAAATAATTCTAAAAAGATTTCTAATGTCTGTCAACTTCAGTTTCATAAAAATAGAATAGTCATCTGGAACAGTAAAGTAAAAAGTTAACTTTTACATATAACTTTAAAAATGGTCGAATCAAAAGTTTTTTTTCTTCTTTTTTTTTTTTTTTTTTTATGTTAACAGCGATAAGTTTTTTTTAAAAAATTTTCTAATAAAGTAATTGGATTATACATACTTACTCTGAGTACAAAAAGCCAAACAAAGTAGCTTTTAAATACTTCCGGATACCGGTGTACGGATGTATTATCCCAACTAAAACAATGTAGAGAGAAATTTGGATTAACTTTTCTACCTTTACTTATACTTGAATATCCTGTGTTTAACTTATTTTAGTCTAACATAATTTAAAAAATAAAATGTCTATTTAACAATAAGTTTTATTGTTAAATAGACAATGAATATTAATAAAAGTTAGGATGAATTTAAAATCTGGGGATCTCATCATCTCATCGATAGAGCCACGTTGATATTCAAATAGATTTGCATAAAGTAATGCGATCTTGTATCCTATTCTAGCTCTGTGTGAGCAGTTGACTGTTGTGTTTGCATACAATGCAAACCCAATTACGAATTTGAATCGAAGAATAGGATACTACTCTACTCTTTGCTTTGTTGCTCTTGTTCTCGTGTTCTTTAGCTCTCTGGTAAATGTGATATCTAATTTGCTTTAAAAATACAAAATCATGAAAAATTTATATTTTTTATGTTATATAATAGGTATATTTGTTGTTAAAACAAACAGACATTTCCTCAAGTATTGTTTTATTCAATATAACATAACCATCAATTTAAATTGGTTAAAATGCGAATAAATTTAATTATTTTACATCAAATACAACATTCAATTAATATGTAAATTAACTAAAATATTTGCAAATTGGGAAATTCCGGTATTCCGAGCTTTGACACTGTCCTTCACTAAAAACACAGCTCTGATAAAATTTCTGTCATGAATATGACGATGCGCAGTTTTAATTGGATTATTTTTAAATCAAAGCTTAAATTTCAGAAGAATTAATTACTCTTTTAAATAAAGGGTATTTTTTTTTATTTATTTTTTCAATTACTTAAGGAAATAATTTAATTAAATCTAGTAAATTTTTTGTTGTATTATTTATAATATTATTCTTCAAATAATAAGACTGCTGCTCTTTTAGCATTATCTTAATTTTCAATCAGGAAAAGCCGATAAAAAAAATAAATAATGGATTGGAAGAGTACAAGTGTTGACGACGTGACTGCATTTTTCTCGATTAATTGAACTCATTGAACGATGCAATGGTAAACGGTGTTTTATAATTGAGTGAAAATCTTCCTCCGGATGATAACCGATTCCACAGTTTGTCTTTCCTCTCAATAACAGGTCAATGAGCACGTCTCTTGTCATCCTTTTATTTTATTTTTTTATTTCTTGTTATTACATTTTTTTTCTGTTTATTATTAATTTTTTCCGTGCTCTAGAAAATCGATTCTGGGGTAAAACGAAGAATTCTGTTATGTAATAAGGGAACATATACATTTACAGAAACAATAGTGCATAATTCATATCACTAATGTATGTAAGAGAGATGTATATATTAACAGCGGGTCCATGGATATGTAGAGCTTCTCCTGTACTAGTTTCTCGGTTATCCTTATCTATGCCGGGCCATATAAATCAAAGTGTTTACTCAAGCTATAGGGGCAATTCTGTTGGTGATGAAGAGATGTGCGGGTGTTGGGTATATTTGTGGCTAATAATTACTACCTGCCAGTACCTCATTTACTTTATTTACATATAAACTAGACATATCGTCTCTCCTTTTTTTATATTCATTATTTTTCATTTACTTTTTTATTTACTATGTCCCTTTGTTTTCCCTGTAATATATTCGCAATAAAAATAATAATAATGATAAAAAATAATAGCAATGAGGATAACAACAATAGAGTGGGGTAAGAAAGATTTGTTTTTAATAGAACGAATTTGGTTTCAATAGCGTTAATAAAACGGTTGTATAAAAGAAAATGTTAATTGGGATAAAAAGGGGATAGGATCGTAAGCGATTATTATTCGTTTTGCTTTGTCTCTCTTTGTCTGTGTCGACGATTAAAAGAAGACAAGAGAGACGGATAAAGAGTGGCCAGAGAGAGTAGAGGGTCGTTCATACAACTGCCTGTTGATTTTCGTGCTATAGAGAGGAATATGTCGATATGTAATCTACATTCACAGATCTATATCTTTATATATATTTATTTATTTCAATATAAATGTTTGGGCGGGGAAAAAAAAAGAAAAATCATGTTGTTAAACATCGGGAATCCGTGAACACTAATATTTATTATCCTCCGATGAAAAATTATTAATTTGAAAAATAATATTTGTTTTTATAAATTATTAACGAGCACCCATTGTTCTATCCGTATAACATTACTCTTCGCGGTGGATCAGTCAAGTGATGCGATGGATTTGGTGAAAACTTTTTTAAAATTATTTTTTAGTGTTTTGAAATGAAATAAAACTTTTTGCTTGATCTTAAAATACGAGCCACGTTTTCCCATTAATCTTGCTTCTTTTCAACGTCTAGGTTTCTTTTCTTTCTCTCTTTTACTTTTCACGTTATTTTATTTTATTTTTTTTTTTTTTTTTTTTTTTTTTTTTTTTTCATTTCTTTTCACCACTTCCATTAACTCCTATTTTCCCGTATGCTTTACGGTAAAGCTCTTCTACTCAGCTCAATGCTATTACCTGTTCTGGGAAAATCAAGAGAACGTTAACTCTGCCTGTACCACCAAACCGCCCATTCGTTTATTCAAGAGTCCCTGTTTTATATTAAATCAAATTTCTTTTTTTTTCTCTCCTTCAACGATTTCTCTTTCTTCCTCAATTTTATCGTTATTTATATTTATTTAATGTTCAAATAATAATAATTGCACCAAAGTTTAATACCCTTTATGTCTGTACGAATAAAATTTGAGAATAATTAAGGACAACAGAGCTCACAGTACAATAAACAATTAAATGATTTTATTTTAAAAATAAAATGGATTAACTTGATTCGTTGCGAGTCAACTCTTTTATGAAATCAATAATTTCAAATAAATTTAGAAGTTAAAGACGTCAGTTTTGGAGTTAAATCATAAATATTCCAATGAAATGATAATTCAAATCCATGAGGAAGAAGAAACGTGTATTTTTAGCCATATTCGAGAGATTGAATTAATAATTCTGAAGAGAAGCCAAGAAATGATAAAAAATGAAAAGAAACTATAAATATTCGTGTATAAGTAAAATTTTGAAGCTTTTGAAAAATTATAGATGATTTATGTTCAGTTTTTTTGTTGTTCGGGACCATTTATCTTGAAACTGGAAGCTCAATAATATTAAAGGAGACAAGAAACATTGTCGTTGGGTATACAGACATATTGTACTTTTAGCATGGCTTATAGCTTACGGCATTTTATCATTTCGTGTCTCTTGAATTTTATATACTTAATAATACTCAGAAACAACTTTACATTTGTTAAATTTCCCCTCAACAACATCTACTTTATATTTCTTCATTATTATTTGAATAACACTATCAAATATTATTTTTAAATGATATTCAAGTAAAATTATTGATTTTTTATGACCCAATAAAAATACAAGTGATATTTTAGCTTTTAATAAATGACTTTTAAATAGATGGAAAATTATTTGAATTAAAATGATAACTCTGTAAGATTTCTTCTTTGAAAGAGTTTTAAATTATCGAAAATAAAATGATGGGATTGGATTTATTCTATCTTTTGGATTACTATAATAAATTCCTCGAGTATATATATATATATATATATATATATATGTATCTCGAGTTGAAACGCGAGTAAAAAAATTGAATAATAAAAATGGTTATTTCCCAATCCTGTATACGGCAATTCAACACTCAGCAATCATCATCGTATTTCCGTATTCCAGACTATACTCACCGTCTAGTCACGATGGTTTTGAGATTGTATTTCCTGTGTGGTGTATATGGCATTTCGCATTTCCGGGAGACGTAAATTCACCAATCTTCAAAGGCTCCACCATCTTTGCTAAAACTTTGATCTATACTGTATTTTATATGACATTATAATGAAGCTACGTCGCTGTCATTACCATTGCTATCAATATTAAAGGATAATAAAATAAATAAATAAATAAATAAATAAAAATGATTAAGTAATATTTAATATATTGGATTTGCTGTTAAAGTCAGAAAAATGTCAAGTGGCTAATAAACTGATGTAGTAGAGTTCTTTATCCAAGAAAAATGTGGGCTCCTGTCACTGGCAGCATTTATT